TCCGGGTTAGAGTCCCGCTCCTTGAAAGCGGCAGCTCTACCCTTTAGCTCAGTGCGGATGTTGCCTGTAATCCATGGCTTCTGGTTGGGGTATGTACGTACAGTCACTGTGGGGATGACGTCATCGATGCACTTATTGATGAAGCCAGTGACTGATGTGGTGTACTCCTCAATGCTATCTGAAGAATCCTGGAACATGTTCCAGTCTGTGCTAGCAAAACAGTCCTGTAGCTTAGCATCTGCGTCATCTGACCATTTTTTTATTAACCGAGTCACTGGTGCTTCCTGCTTTAGTTTTTGCTTATAAGCAGGAATCGGGAGGATAGAGTTATGGTCAGATTTGCCAAATGGAGGGCGAGGGAGAGCTTTGTATGCGTCTCTGTGTGTGGAGTAAAGGTGGTCTAGAGTTTTTTTCCCTCTGGTTGCACATTTAACATGCTGGTAGAAATTAGGTCGAACGGATTTAAGTTTCCCTACATTAAAGTCCCCGGCCACTAGGAGCGCTGCCTCTGGATGAGCGTTTTCCTGTTTACTTATGGCCTTATACAGCTCAGTGAGTGCAATCTTAATGCCAGCATTGGTTTGTGGTGGTAAATAGACAGCTATGAAAAATAGATAGTGGTAGATAGTGTGGTCTACAGCTTATCACAATATACTCTACCTCAGGCGAGCAAAACCTTGAGACTTCCTTAGTATTTGATTTTGTGCACAAGCTGTTGTTTACAAATATACACAGACCACCACCCCTTGTCTTACCGGAGTCCGCCGTTCTATCCTGCCGATGTAGAGTATATCCCGTCAGCTGTATGTTGTCCATGTCGTCGTTCAGCCACGACTCGGTGAAACATAAGATATTACAGTTTTTAATGTCCCGTTGGTAGGATAACCGTAATCTTAGGTCATCTAATTTATTTTCAAATGATTGAACTGATGTTCTTGATTGTTTGGATAAGAAGAAACACTATGTGGCCCTTTTTATTGACCTGTCTAAAGCCTTCGACACAGTGGATCACTCATTACTTATTCAGAGGCTTTCATCAATTGGCCTGGACCAGGCTGCGTGTACCTGGTTGGAAATGTATTTAAAGGACAGAACAGTGTGTATTTACTGATGGTGTTAAATCAGGTTTTCTGGACATAACAAAGGGTGTCCCACAGGGATCGATTCCTGTCCCAGTTCTTTTCACTGTTAACATGAACAATATTAGTTTATCTGTAAAAAACAACAACATTAGGAACACCTTCTCTTTCCATGACATAGAGCGAACAGGTGCATCCAGGTGAAAGCTATGATCCTTTATTGGTGTCACTTGTTAAATACACTTTAATCATGTAGATGAAGGGGAGGAGACGGGTTAAAGAAGGACTTTTAAGCCTTGAGACAATTGAGACATGGATTGTGTATGTGTGCCATTCAGAGGGTGAATGGGCAAGACAAAAGATTTAAGTGCCTTTGAACAAGGTATGGTAGTAGATGCCAGGCGCACCGGTTTGAGTGTGTCAAGAACTGCAACACTGCTGGGTTTTTCAAGCTCAACAGTTTCCCGTGTGTATAAAGAATGGTCCACCACCCAAAGGACATCCAACCAACTTAACACAACTGTGGGAAGCATTGGCATCAACACGGGCCAGCATCCCTGTGGAACGCTTTTGACACCTTGTGGAGTCCATGCCCCAACGAATTGAGGCTGTTCTGAGGGCATAAGTGAGGGCAACTCAATCCTAGGAAGGTGTTCCTAATGTTTTGTACACTCAGTGTATATACAAAGTTCTGACTTCAAAATGTCAGCATCCAAAAGAAAAAGCCTCTCATCAGGTAAAACCTGTCTTAACCAATAAAGCACAGGCGGGGTCTACCAGGCTCAGATACAGCCTCCCCTTGAGTTACCCAAAAGTGAACTAACTACAACATCCCCAAATAGGCACTTAAATACATTTGGCCACACCTATTCTTGGCACGCTGGCCAGGTATACAGTGCATTCGGAAAGTATTCAGACCCCTTGACTTTTTCTACATTTTGTTACGTTACAGCCTTATTCTAAAATGGATTAAATAAAGAAAATCCTCATCAATCTACACACAATACCCAATAATGACATAGTGAAATAGGCTTTTAGAAAATTTTGCAAATGTATCAAATAATTTTTTGGGGAAATACCTTATTTACCTAACTATTCAGACCCTTTGCTATGAGACTCGAAATTGAGCTCATGTCCATCCTGTTTCCATTGATCATCCTTGAGATATTTCTACAACTTGATTGTGGTAAATTAAATTGATTGGACATGATTTGGAAAGGCACACACCTGTCTATATAAGGTCCCACAAGCCATGAGGTCGAAGAAATTGTCCGTAGCGCTCCGAGACAGGATTGTGTCATGGCACAGATCTGGGGAAGGGTACCAAAAAATTTCTGCAGCATTGAAGGTCCCCAAGAACACAGTGGCCTCCATCATTCTTAAATGGAAGAAGTTTGGAACCACCAAGACTCTTCCTAGAGCTGGACGCCCGGCCAAACTGAGCAATCGGTGGAGAAGGGCCTTGGTCAGGGAGGTGAGGTGACCAAGAACCCGATCGTCACTCTGACAGAGCTCCACAGTTCCTCTGTGGAGATGGGAGAACCTTCCAGAAGGACAACCATCTCTGCAGCACTCCACCAATCAGGCCTTTACGGTAGACGGAAGCCACTCCTCAGTAAAAGGCACATGACAGCCCACTTGGAGTTTGCCAAAAGGCACCTAAAGGACTCTCACACCATGAGAAACAAGATTCTCTGGTCTGATGAAACCAAGATTGAACTCTTTGGCCTGAATGGCATTTGTCACGTCTGGAGGAAACCTGGCACCATCCCTACGGTGAAGCATGGTAGTGCCAGCATCATGCTGTGGGGATGTTTTTCAGTGGCAGGGACTGGGAGACTAGTCAGCATCAAGGGAAAGATCAACAGAACAAAGTAAAGAGAGATCCTTGATGAAAACCTTCTCCAGAGCGCTCAGGACCTCAGACTGGGGTGAAGGTTCACCTTCCAAACAGGACAACGACCCTAAGCACACAGCCAAGACAACGCAGGAGTGGCTTCGGGACAAGTCCCTGAATGTCCTTGAGTGGCCCAGCCAGAGCCCAGACTTTAACCCGATCTAACATCTCTGGAGAGACCTGAAAATAGCTGTGCAGCGACGCTCCCCATCCAACCTGACAGAGCTTGAGAGGATCTGCAGAGAAGAATGGGAGAAACTCCCCAAATACAGGTCTGCCAAGCTTGTAGCGTCATACCCAAGAAGACTTGAGGCTGTAATCGCTGCCAATTGTGCTTCAACAAAGTACTGAGTAAAGGGTCTGAATACTTATGTAAATGTGATAATTACTGTTTTTTATTTTTAATACATTTACAAAAATTTCTCAAAAACTGTTTTTGCTTTGTCATTATGGCGTATTGTGTGTAGATTGATGAGGGGGGAAAACAATTTAATCCATTTTAGAATAAGGCTGTAACATAAGAAAATGTGGAAAAAGTCAAGGGGTCTGAATACTTTCCGAATGCACTGTAGTTCCCGAGGTGGAATTCCAAGTTGGATGACCATTCAAATCGATTTTTCCCAATCGGAGCAGTGGTGTAGTGGTGCCTGGAGAAGTGGGTCAAATCCAAACGGCCTGCCAGGCGAAGGTAAAGCGTCCTGTGTGAAAAATTATATGAGAAACAGTGACATACACTCTGAATGACCTAACATGATACATCCCATATTGGTCTTTCACAGTCAGACCAACCCAAGCTGTACTGTGCAGTAGGCTAATAGTAGGCCTACTATTGAAACAGATCAACTGAGTCAGAAATTCATAGGTTTCAGATTTTCCCAAATTTGTTCAAGTTTTCGTTCTCAAAGTCACACTTTTTTTTTTTTTACAGAAAAACAACAGAATTGTATGTTCTAAGGCCATAACAATGCTTAAACCACATCAGGGGACCACTTTTGAGGTCTGGAAAAAATTACCCTTTAATTCAAGTGTGCAGGCACCTAGCACTATTGTTTGTGGTGTTTCTGTAGCACATGCGATGGAATTTGCAAAATAAATTAACTACACTTTGTAGCTAGTTAACGTTTAATAGAGACGGTTTTTGGGAAAGCCTTTCCATCTACCATCATTAGCATCGCTATATTTTTCCTGTTCCTTCATTGTTTGAAACCTGGACGTTTTACTTCATATTATGAGGCATGTCTTACCTTGCTTCAAAATAGCCTAGAGCCAAAATCCCACCATAGAAACGTGGAGGCAATTATTTTCATAAAGATTTACTCATGTGTATTCTGTTTTATTGGTTTTCTTTCAACTTTCTTTCATTGCCTTGAGGCCAACGGCATTATCCTAATCATATTAGCAACCCATGATAGTTGTTGCATGTTTAAATCCCCCCCTCTTTCTAACGGATATTTCCATCTCTGTCCATGAAACCGCTTGCATGTGCAGTGCACATTTTAGAACGGTGTTTCCCGCAAATTGCATTTTGGAACCTTCACGGCTAGGCCTTCTGCTATGTGTACATTACTGCGCCTAAAATGTGAAGAAATAATAGTTTATCAACATTTCAAGCTAAACATTCCCATCTGTTCCATCAGCCCTATTTATTGATACGATGTATACCTCCACTACACTACCTTGATAAGTATCAGTGGGGATTATTGCTGCGTTCAAAACAACTGGGAAGTCGGAACTTGGAAACAATCAAGCTCCAACTAGGAAAAATCGTTTTGAACCGTCATCCAACTTGGAATTCCAACTCGGGAACTCGAGACTCTTTCTAGAGCTCCGACTTTCCGAGTTTAAGATCACTAACGTCATGATTTAGTCCCCTCGTGGAGCCGGGGACTCTTGTGACTAATCTAGATGTTTTGCTGACATTCCTTTTCTATTGGACAAAATCCCTAGGTTTGCATATTGGAAAATGTATTATTTAAAAAGAATACAATAAAAAGTGTATTAGACATACATAGAGAAGTAAGACATGTATATAAATACAAACTGGTTTATTCAGATGTTTTTACAACATAAAGTGTCATAGAGTGATCATTATAATACAGCCTGTGTGTTGAAGGAGCACTAGTTCATTTATTCTCTTAAGAGGCTAGCTACCCCTAAGCACACATGGACGCACATGCACGCTCACGATCATGCTCAAGCACGCACATACACAGGCAGGCACGGCACATGCACGCTCACACACACATAATATTAAGTTGCATTACACCTTAGAATTACTATTACAAGGAAAAACATACAGCAATATCAAAATACAGTAGTCTCAATTCTATCAATACAGAGTAAGAAATGTTCAGCAATATATTCATAATATCAAACTCTATGAAGCAAATATTCTCTTTGAAAATGTACAGTACATCTTAAAAATTCTCGAACCTGTCTAGTATGAAACACTTTATCTCTCCCCTCTTCCTTCCCTCTCCCGCACTTCCTCCACTGCTCCTGCCTCTCTTATTTTCCTGGCCTTCTTCTCTACCTCCTTTGCTTTCCTCTTCTCCTCTCTCTCTGTCTCCATCAACCAGGGCCCCCCCAGGTAGCTGAGGATCTCATCAGGGCCTCCTCGAAGCCTGGCCTGCGGGTTAAGCAGCTCCCTGAAAAGAGACATCAGCAGTGGGCTGAAGCATTGAAAATGTGGGGGCACAGGGTTCGACTTCTGATTCTCCTCCAGGCTCAGGGTATTGTCCTTTTCCCTTTCACCTTCGCACCAAATTACTTCCTCCTCCCCTCTCAGTCCCTCGCTCCTTTCCTCCCTCTCCGTCTCGCGGTCGTACCACTCCTTGTACCTCCGGTAGGCGGGGTCGTCGTGGGTGGTCTCTTCCCAGGGAAAGCATCCCGTCAGCAGGCAGTAGACCAGCACCCCCAGGGCCCAGCTGTCTATAGTGGTCTCCACTGTGATCCAAATGTTCTCCTCTTCCTCTCCATCCTCCTCTCTCTGCTCCCTCACTTTCTCTGACTCCTTGGCCTGCTCCACCTCGGGCGTGCAGAAGGGCGAGTCGTACCAGACAGCTCGGACAGTGCAGCCGGTGGGGCGGGCCAGGCCGAAGTCACCCAGTTTGACCCAGCGACAGGTGCGGTCACACAGGAAGATGTTCTCTGGTTTGATGTCACGGTGGACGAAGCCCAGGGAGTGGAGGTGTGAGACAGCACCACTCAGCTGAGACATCACCCTCTGGACACACTCTTCATCTACACCCACCTGGAGACAGAGAGAGAGAGATAGAGGGAAAAAGAGAAACGACATTATACTGTATATCATTGTTTCATAAATGGTATGGCCTGGATTCCTTTTGGGTCATGATTTAACATAGGCCGCTGCTAGGTTTAGTTTACTAGATAGGTCACACAAAAAGAGCACTGTGAGAGTTATTTAAGATACTCTTCAAAGAGGTAGGGTTTCAGATGTTTTCAAAAGATAGGCAGGCACTCCACTGTCCTGACTTTAGGGGGAAGCTTGTTCCACCATTGGGCTTCCAGGACAGAGAAGAGCTTGGCCTGGGCTGAGTGGGAGCTGCCCTCCTGTAGGGGTGGGAGGCCAAGAGACCAGAGGTGGCAGAAAACGTAGTGGTCGGGTTGGGATGTAGGGTTTGAACATAGCCTGAAGGTAAGGAGAGGCAGTTCCCCTTGCTACTCCGTAGGCAAGCACCAGGGTCTTGAAGATGATGCAAGCTTATTATCCACTTAGAGAAATAGAGTATAAACTGTAGGTTACTGGCAGCGACCGACACAATCAAAGAGACACTAGAGGGGACGAGGTGGAAGCCACAGGAGGGATTCCATTGAAGTCTTTATCATGTACTCACTGACAGAGGGAAGAGGGCAACTGGGACCAGGGCAATATGGGGCAGTAGAGGTGGTGGCAGACCTTGGAGGAATTGCAATACTGGGTCTGTGTTGTGCACTTATTTTTAGTGCTTTGACATTTAAATGAAAACCCTCTCATGTATGACTGACTCAGAGTCTGTTAACAGATTTATGATTCTAACTGACCTCTGACACGATGACACTGTAGAGGTCTCCATAGAGACCAGCCTGCTGGGCGAAGACGTAGTAGCAGGGGGTGGAGAAGAAGATGCCCAGGGCCCGGGTGAGAGAGGGATGAGTGCAATAAGAGAGGGAGAGGTTGTATTCACGCAGGAAAGCGAAGAGGGATGTGGACTGACGGGGGAAGAACTTCAGAGCCATGGGAGTGCCTGATGGAAAGGAAGATAAATACATTCAAATCTAACCAAATACTACACCAAAACATAAATAGATAAATTATAGAGTAAATAATGTTGTCAACACTGTGAAACACACATGAAAACATCCTGGCAGATTCCATATAGCACCGGGGATATCTAAATTACCTCCCTATTCCCTGGGGTTTAGATAGAGGACAGCCAATGTCTGTTTATGAATGGACAAAGCCATCGATCACGTGACAGCATTCATTCCTATGTGAAGACTCAATAGCGCATTGAAGCCAAATGAAGTCGGATAAGATGGCATCTCATGCGCAGTTTGAGCTACTTCAGGAAGTGACGTTGCAGGCTAGCTCAGTGCTGCCTCCTCTCATGTAGTAACTCAAGTTGAAGGCCAACCGGGGTACTGCAGGCTGCCGTTAGTAACTAAATTATATAACCCTATAGCGTCTTCTGTGTGCGATTAAAAAATAATCTGTTCAAGGACATATTAGAAGCAATATTTGGTACCACGATTGTCTTCGAAAGTTGTTTTATTTACACAAAGATTCACCACAAAGATTTAAATTTTTCCATTCACTATAATGGGGGATCCCATTTTTTGCTAACAATGCCTGCAGTACTGCGGTCGGCCTTGAACTTCTGTGGTTTCAGGGTTGGAGAGTAACTGATTACATGTAATCTGATTACAAAAAACTGTAACTAATAAATATTCTAATCAGATTATAGATACTTTTGAAAAACTACATGATTACTTCTTGGATTACTTTTAAATTCAGAAAGGATGCTTGCGAAAAAATACTTAATGACAGCTTTCTGTTTTGTCAATGACATTCAATTCAGCATTGAAAAAAGGCTTAAGTTTAAGTTTGTTCCACCTGAGCGAGTCTGACCACAAGTCAGAGACCTCTATGATGACACTCCAAATATGTTTGAAGGATAGTTTTTGTCTTCTTTTAACGCCTCTAAAGGGGAAAGTAATCAGATAACTGAGTTTGGGTAATCCAAAAGTTACTGATTACAATTTTGGACAGGTAATTAGTAACTGTTACGTATTACATTTAGAAAGTAACCTATCCAACCCTGCTTGGCTTCAATGAGAAGGGGCAGTCGTTCTCCCCTGAGGACACCCTACAGCAGCCGTATCCCCAAGAATGTAGTAAAGCACTTCATAACAGCAACACTCATGCTAAAGGTTAAGTTGACACTATATAAAGACACCTCTACCCTCACGTTGGACAAATAAACCACCCACTGTTCACGTGTAGTTTTATCCTCTGAACTGTAACCCTAGCCCCTTCAGACCCATATTTCACTAGAACAAGTTTCAAGTTTTTTTAGTCGGATGTACAAGATACACATGATATACACGTTCAACAAAATGCTTACTGGCAGGTTCATTCTCGACAATGCAACAACAATGAGAAATAATAAAAGATAAGAATATGACCATAAAGTAAATGGCTCAGTAGAATATAATAAATGTTTTAGCATAAGTATAATACAGGATGGCATAATTTATAACGCCTGCCCACCCCATAACTCTCCATGACCAGGGTTAGGGACCACTACAGTGACCTCTGGTGCTTTACTTACCTCTCTTCTTGTGGACGGCCAGCATGACCTTGCCGTAGGATCCCTCTCCCAGCAGCTTGACCATCTGGAAGTGGTCAGAGGTCTCCAGGGTGGACATGGACTGGGCTGAGAGGAAACATAGCTCGTCCAGTTCCTGAGCTGCAGCCTGACAGAGAGAACAAGGAAACATGGTCAAATAGGGAGAATATTTTTATAAGGAGTTGATGTTTCATTGCCCATGTCTTGTTACACTAGCAGGAATTGACTAGGCTTGTAGGCTACAGTGCTGCACGGTGCATAACCAACCAACACTGAAAATGGTCAACGAGCAGTGGGAATAAATACTAAGCACTTTATGACAAATGCAATATAAATACATTTTGATTGGTCAATTGAATGATTGACTGATTGATCAACTTGTATGTATGCTTGGGTGGATAGGGCTCAGTGTCACCATAAGATGTACTGCTACAGGATGTCCAGCGACCTCAGGGATTACCATAAAATGTGAGAAAATGATGAGATGGGAGATCGGATGAGTGTCACATTGGAGCAACCAGAATATGCTGTATGTACATTCCCACTGTCCCCTCGGTTCCCTGTGTCTATTATATCATCAGTATGAGCCCCTATATACATCTGCTGACCTCATTAAAATAGGACCCCCCCGCCTATAGTAACACCCCAGCAAATGAGTGAGGGATGTAAAGACTGTTTGCGTAACACAATGGATTAAGCTATAATAGCACCATGGTATATTTATAAGTTCGACCTTATATACCACATATATTTGTTGCATAATAGAGCATCAACATGTCAAATCAAATAGGGGGTGCTTACAAGTGTATGGTGTGAAATGGAAATGTGTTTTTTGCATATCTCACTCCCCCTGAGACACCCTCAGAGAGTGGGGTCACTGCCAGGCATCAACCATTATTGACAGCGACCCTGGAACAATTACGGGTTAAGTGCCTTGCTCAAGGGCAGATCGACAGATTTTCCACCTAGTCAGATCGGGGATTCAAACTAGAAACCGTTCGTTTACTGGCACAAAGCTCTAACAGCTTTATTAGCTTGAGTTGGGAGTAACATACTTTGGGAAGTAACTGACAAAAGTCTTGATTTACTAAGCATTCGCAAAGGTTAGAAGTTTGCACCTGTACATTACAGAGTAAAAAAATAAATGTCTTAGGAACAAGTGTAAAAAACAGCAGTTACATGTTTTAACTTTGTGTTCCCCCGTTTATACAGCAGCTGCAAAATCTTCCATCTGATCAAATGCTCAGTTAATCTATCCGTGAGTTGGCTTTGAGTAAGTGGAGTTTTATTTTAGTGGACTATCTGAACTGTCTGTGTCTTGTCACTAAACAACGCCAAACATTTGATATGAAGCCAAGAATACGCCAGCAGGGTCCAACCAGTCTGAATCGGCTGCTGCTGCTGGGCACACTGGAGAAAATATAAAAGACAGATTTCTAACATAGGCTACATTGGGTCAAAGGTCATTATTTCCCTCAACCCAATTTAATCTGAAAGCACTGAAAATATTAACTCCTTTGGATCACAATCAGGAATGGGATAATTTCCACATCAATTCAGAGAATGAATTGAACGTTGACCAAATTATCTTCTATGAGGACTTTTCAATTGATTGATTGAATTCACTCTTAATTTAAATGAAATTGACCCCTGGCTAGCACTGATCACAATGTCCAATGACTTCTCCCAATTAACACCAATTGCGTAACTTGTTGCTGCAGCAGGTGGAAGACATTTGCCCCAGTCTCACCCACCTGACATTCACTGTGTCCTTGTAACCTGAGGTGATTATGAATTAATCCCTTATATGTCAACGAATCCCCCTGTCGATAAGAGCTGGCTGTAATTGAAATACTGGCCTCTATGACAGTATTATGAGCTGTCGGAAGACTAACGCTATTAACAGATTTAAAGACAAGTAAAACCAGTAAAGATATAAACACTGGAAGCTGAAAAGCCTCTCTACAATGTGCTTCTTTCTGGACCCGTGCCCGTGGCAACCACTTACAGCCCCAACTGAATGCCCCCATATGAAGACACATGTATATATTGCAGAGTGGGGTCATGGCCAGGCATCAGCCATTATTGACGACGACCCTGGAGCAATTTTTCGACAGATCTTCCACCTAGTTGGATCGTGTCAGTTGATGTAGCAGGTCAATGTACTGTATTTACAGACCCATAAACATAATGCCATTGTCCATAGAATGTGACCCCAAAAACAGACTAAGAACAATGCAACATCTGACAGCAGAATAACTACATCAAATCAAAAGCGAATCAAAGTTTATTGGTCGCGTACACAGTTCCGCAGATGTTATAGCGGGTGCAGCGAAATGCGTGTGTTACTAACAATGCAGTAAAAATGTCAAACAAGAACACAATTAAACATTTCAAAATTTAAAACAAGAAATCATGGATCTACTGGTAAAAACACTGGTTATATGTTTATATGACTATATTGCAATGTCATATCAGCCTCCTGTCGATATGGTGGGGTGAGGAAGACATTTGACATTGGCTGTATAAAAAAATCACATAGTTGTCTTCATGTCTTTATGACTATTTTGCGATGGAATTTTTCTGCAGTTGATATGGTGGAAATTAAAACACATGACACACAGGTCACTTTCCATACAATTTGCATAAGGACAACAATAGGTGAATTTTAAAGAAAGTTTAACTTACTGTCATTGTAGAGTTTTCTCAAATGGGCACGTCTGTCTCTGTTCAGCTTGTCTGGGTCCTCGTCAGCATCTAAATAGACTTCAACACCCTCCTGACCCTGTGTAGGTCTGCTGTTGATCTGCTACTGTTCTGTTCTGTCCCTAACTATTGTCTTTCACTGGTGATCTACTCTTTAGCTCTATAGGAGATCTATATCGGCGCTGTTATTGTTGCTTTGTCTAGGCAGGTCCATGCGCTGGTAGTTTTTATAGCAGACACTGAGGTATATCTACCTTCCTATCCCTCAGGGACCTTGGTACTGACCGTGTCTCTCTCCCTGGGAGACCACCACTTCACTCACTCTCTCTCTCCTCCCCTCTCTCTATCCCCCTCCTCCCACTCTCCCCCTCCTCTCTCCCTCTCTCTCTGTCTCTAACACACACTCTCTCTCTCACTCTAAGTTCCCCCACTTGTTTTTCCAGCAAATATGCATGTACCATAGTTGTAAGGTATTCCAACCCTCTCACTCTCTCCAGGTGTCCCTAGCCCCTCTCAGCGTCAGTGTTAATGTCCAAATGTGCCCAATCTGTCAGTCTGTCTGTCTTCATTAACCCTGTAACCCATTCGTTGTGTTCCCTCTCTCTCGCTCTCTCTCTCTCTTTCTCTCTCTCTCTCTCGCTCTGTCTTACTCTTCTCCCTCTCTCTCTTACTCCCTCCCTGTCTCTCTCCTCCCATACACAACCACCCCTCCCCATCCTCTGTTCTCCCCTCTGGCTTTCTCGCCCTCTTACTCCGTGAATTCCTTCCACAGTGTTTGGATTCCGTATCTAATCAACAGACGTGGTGGATTAGGATGGTCTGAATGAGCTAACAAGCTGTTTCCACCATCACTGCATCTGATGGAGTTTAGCTTCCAATGACATCTCCTGCCAATCTGCATGTTGTAGTAAATCCCCTATTACCCAACATATCTCTGTTCTCTCGTCTCTCCCTCACTATCTCTCTCTCTCTCTCTCTCTCTCTCTCTCTCTCTCTCTCTCTCTCTCTCTCTCTCTCTCTCTCTCTCTCTCTCTCTCTCTCTCTCTCTCTCTCTCTCTCTCTCAGACACATACACTCTCTCTCTATTTCTGCCTCCTGCTCTCTCAGGCAGTGAAGTGAAATCAAGTGTTGTGCATCAAAATCTATTTTAAAAAACAATTTCCTCTTTTTCTCTTTTTCTCTGAACTCTTAGTCAGCTACAATGTTTAGAAAAGCCTAATGCATTAGTCATCTATTTTTCATCATAATAAAAAATATATTTTTGGCAAGCCCTCAAAACCACGTCTGGCTGTCCCCTTTCTCCCCACTTCTCTTCCTCTCCCCTCCACTTTTTTTTTGCTCTTTACCTCCCTCCCTCCATCTAGCCCAAACTGTATTATGCCCCATCATCTGTGAGTGACAAAGCTAACAGCTGAAACTACCTTACCAAACAGCTTAATACCACAGTGCCGTCTACATGCCAACTCCTTTTCCCCGCTTGGTGCCAACGAACTGGGCCCTGTTCTACATCTCTCTCCCCCGACACCCTCCTTCTCTTTCTGTCTACTCAGATTTCCCCTGATACTACATACTACTGTACTATTATTGCCCAGGGCTCTCTCTCTGTGTGTTGTGTTACTAAAACACAGGCTGTTATAACAACCACCCATACACACTCAGGTTACTACAGCTGCTGAGTGGCCTGACGGGCAGGGGGGAGGTGGGGGGGGGGGTCTGCTCTGTGGGCTACCTAAGCCCCTGCTGTGACAACCTGCCACCACTCCACCAGGATCATGTCTCATCACTACCTACGAATGGACACCCGGCCTACTCTGCTTTCATTTGATTTGACTTCACACACACACGCACACCACATATACTGTACATACACACGCATATACAATTGCAAGCACACACGCTCATACACACACACCAGCATGCAGACGCGTACGCTCGCATACACACACTCTCTCCTGCCATTCACAAAACATTGTTGTTGACAGATGCAGACAAATGACATAGTGAACCCTTCTGCTCCTAAATGACTTGTACAGTACAGATAGTATTTTTGCAGTTTAATAATTGTAATGACAGCATTGTGCCACTTGTGTAACAGGTTCATCTGTCCCCTGTCATTCTGCAATTCTTGGTAGTTGTCACGGTTTCGGCCGAGGCTGCTTCTCCTCCTTGCTCGGGCAGACTTCGGCGGTCGTCGTCCCCGGAGTACTAGCTACCACCGTTGTATGTTTTCGATGTTCGTTTGGTTTTGTCTTAATGTTGTACACCTTGTGTTGTGTTTGGAGTACTAAAGTCTGTTGGACGAAGCTTCTGTGTCCTGCGCCTGATTCCTGCACCACATCCACATACAGCACTCTTGACAGTGGTGGCAGAATAAGAACTACTTTATGTTTGCAATTAATCAATTTTGCATTAAAAGTAATGGTTAGCATGTGTTATATATTGTGGCGTACTTGTTTTAACTATCATGAGATCCATCAAATAATGTAAAATAAAATCTCCCTAACACAGTCCAATCTTAGGGCATGACCCAAGAGCAACCAACCCACCTTCTGAGAAATACTAATACTTGATACAAATACTATGCAACTCTAGCATAAACTATATTTCTTTGAAACACCAAAGCATATTTGTGTGTTTTCCCATGTGCCTGTCTGATCAGTGTGGGACCCACACCCTCTCAAGTGTCCCCAGCAATCCTGACAGAGCATAGGGTGGAGGGAGAGACAGAGAGAGAGAGAGAGAGAGAGAGAGAGAGAGAGAGAGAGAGAGAGAGAGAGAGAGAGAGAGAGAGAGAGAGAGAGAGAGGGCGCCAGGGGAGTTTTGTTGTCTGTGACTCCGGTAGTATTTGTGGCAATGTTTATATTGGTCAAGTTCATAGAAGCCTGCTGCACCTCAGGTTTCCCCATACAAGCTATTAATGGTCCCTATGGAAACCCTCTTTTCAACACAAGTAGGGGATCAAACAAAGTGTCAGGAGTTACGACGGTGAGAGAGAGAGGATAAGATGTAACGATAAATATGCTAAGAGTTACAGTTCATATAAGGAAATCAGTAAATTGAAATAAATTCATTAGGCCCTAATTCTTGTATTTCACATGACTGGGAATACAGATATGCATCTGTTGGTCACAGATACCTTTTAAAAAAGGTAGGGGTGTGGATCAGAAAACCATTCAGTATCTGGTGTGACCACCATTTCCCTCATACATCTCCTTCACATAGAGTTGATCAGACTGTTGATTGTGGTGTGTGGAAGGTAGTCCCACTCCTCTTCAATGGCTGTGCGAAGTTGCTGCATATTGGCTGGAACTGGAACACGTTGTTGTACACGTCGATCCAGAGCATCCCAAACATGCTCAATGGGGCACATGTCTGGTGAGTATGCAGGCAATAGAAGAACTGGGACATTTTCAGCTTTGTTTCAGAACATTCAATTCTCTGGAAACAGCTCTGGTGGACATTCCTGCAGTCAGCATGCCAATTGCACTCTCCCTCAAAACTTGAGACATCTGTAGCATTGTGTTGTGTGATAAAACTGCACATTTTAGAGTGGCCTTTTATTGTCCCCAGCACAAGAAGCACCTGTTTAATGATCATGCTGTTTAATGAGCTTCTTGATATGCCACACCTGTCAGGTGGATGGATTATCTTGGCAAAGGAGAAATGCTCACTAACAGTCCCCTGTAGCTCAGTTGGTAGAGCATGGCGCTTGCAGTGCCAGGGTTGTGGGTTCGTTTCCCACGGGGGGCCAGTATGAAAATGTATGCACTCATTAATTGTAAGTCGCTCTGGATAAGAGCATCTGCTAAATGACTAAAATGTAAATGGATGTAAACAAAATTGTGCACAAAATGTGCGATAAATTATTTCTGCGATCTTTTATTTCAGCTCATGAAACTTGGGACCAACACTTTACAGGATGCATTTATATTTTCTATGGAATTAAGGTCTGGAGACTGGCTAGGTCACTCCAGGACCTTAATGTGCTTCTTCTTGAGCCACTCCTTTGTTGCCTTGGCCGTGTGTTTTGGGTCATTGTCATGCTGGAATAACAATCCACGACCCATTTTCAATGCCCTGGCTGAGGGAAGGAGGTTCTCACCCAAGATTTGACGGTACATGGCCCCGTCCATCGTCCCTTTGATGCGGTGAAGTTGTCCTGTCCCCTTAGCAGAAAAACACCCCCAAAGCATAATGTTTCCACCTCCATGTTTGACGGTGGGGATGGTGTTCTTGGGGTCATAGGCAGCATTCCTCCTCCTCCAAACACGGCGAGTTGAGTTGATGCCAAAGAGCTCGATTTTGGTCTCATCTGACCACAACACTTTCACCCAGTTCTCCTCTGAATCATTCAGATGTTCATTGGCAAACTTCAGACGGGCCTGTATATATGCTTTCTTGAGCAGGGGGACCTTGTGGGCGCTGCAGGATTTCAGTCCTTCACGGCGTAGTGTGTTACCAATTGTTTTCTTGGTGACTATGGTCCCAGCTGCCTTGAGATCATTGACAAGATCCTCCCGTGTAGTTCTGGGCTGATTCCACACCGTTCTCATGATCATTGCAACTCCACGAGGTGAGATCTTGCATGGAGCCCCAGGCCGAGGGAGATTGACAGTTCTTTTGTGTTTCTTCCATTTGTGAATAATCGCACCAACTGTTGTCAGCTTCTCACCAAGCTGCTTGGCGATGGTCTTGTAGCCCATTCCAGCCTTGTGTAGGTCTACAATCTTGTCCCTGACATCCTCGGAGAGCTCTTTGGTCTTGGCCATGGTGGAGAGTTTGGAATCTGATTGATTGATTGCTTCTGTGGACAGGTGTCTTTTATACAGGTAACAAGCTGAGATTAGGAGCACTCCCTTTAAGAGTGTGCTCCTAATCTCAGCTCGTTACCTGTATAAAAGACACCTGGGAGCCAGAAATCTTTCTGATTGAGAGGGGGTCAAATACTTATTTCCCTCACTGTGTAGCAGCTCTTGTAATGGTTGTCTGATCTGTTGGCCACCATGCATTAATATAGTTCAACTGGGTTCTGACGTTATACTATACATCTCTGTAAAATAGGCTAGAGGTTACCTCTGTGTGGACGCTATGTGCTACAGCAGTGTAATTGATGGCAATATACACAGCCGCCCACAGCAGACATGCCCATGTCCCAGACACACAATGTCCCAGGCTCAGAGGTGTCCTGTTGGGTTAGGGTTGTAGGTTGAGGTTCTGGAGTTAGAACTGGGAAACGTGATCTCCGGACATTACTGTCTGACTGTACTCGTGTCAGTTGCTGTAAGGCACTTGTGACAAGTGTATTTGTAAAAAGAGCTCTACAAATGTATAATACAAATGTTAGTGATTGATGCCGGTGGACGTCACAGCGTTTGCGGAATTGTGCCTGTTGAAAGATGATTCTCTTTTATTGTGATAATGTTTTATAGTATTCATAATGATATGCACATGAACAGGGACTTATGCCTGAGGAGGACAGGATAGATGCTTTGTGTTGACGGACAGTCAGCGCAGGGGAAAATGGAGAGGTGTTTATGATTACTATTCATACCAGCAGAAACCAGAGCAACAATAAAATTACATAACACACTTCTGTGTGAATCTGAATGTGAAGAATGTGGATGAGAGGAATAGTTCCATGCATAACGAGATGATTTATAGGAGGTGATTTTATTTATAGCTGAATATCTGCTACTGGTTTTGCTGCTAAATTTAGGAGGTAGGCCTGCAGTAACGTCAACCGACACACAGCACAAGCCTAACCCTCTTGAAATCAATGTCAGACAAATCTCAATGATTTGTTGTTTACTGTCCCTTAGTAATATATCAATTTGGTAATTTGTGTTGTGTTGGCCGGTATTTTATCCTGTCATATTTGATAAATGCCTTGAAATATACGTTTTGAAATATGCTTATATTATTAAAGTATATTCATATTTGAACATATTTTCATATCACGGTTTCTAGGCCCATTTGGAAACAGTCAGGAGTCAGATATAAAAGTCAAGCTAAGTATATTAAGAGATTCAGGTTTTATATACACCATATATACAAACAGGATAAAATCAAAGCACATTAGCACAATTACACAAAAGGCTTCTTAGATCACACTTCCACTGAATAGAACTGACATTGGTGCATAAGTAAGTGCTGCTTTCACAGGACTATAATTATTGATGACCAAGTTACACAAAAGTAGAGCCTGACCGATATGTCGGTTCACCGATATTGTCGGCTGATATTGGACCTTTACCAATATATCGATATCGGCCGATAATTCCACTGATAAGCAATATTCAATAAATAGGATGAAAAAAGGGAATCTCATGATTATCTGAACACTTGCGGCCATTCTCATGATGTGTCATTATAGTCACAATGCAAGAAATCAACATTTTGAAGCATATTTCTTTGACAATTGCTCTTAAGGGATGGCAGTTTATGATGATTTCCAGGCTGTAAAACAATATATCAGCAGATATATCAGTATTTTGTGTCCCCCACAAAAATGTAATCTTATCCGACCCAAAAAACCTAAATCATTCGGCCTCTACACAAAACTGACCAAAATCTCAGAAAACCAAAACAGTGACAAACAAAACTACTGAATGAAAGAAAAGAACAGTTAGCCACAGCCCAGTTAGCCACAGCATTCACACAAACAGCTAATATTAATATCAACAGACATTCACCTTAGAGGGCAGTTTCAATTAGGCCTAATGCTTTCACCCCCAAAGCATCTGGAAGCGCATGGAACCAACTGGAATCAACTGAAAAAAATAAAGGAAAAAAATGGCATTACTGCAGTGGCATAACTTAAAGGGGAAATCCGCAGTTGAAACAATAACAAAGCGCATCCCCACCACTGTTTCTGTAAAAATCTGAAGGATGGGTCTGGAGAAATGTAACCACTCTCAAATTCATAGACAGAGCTATGGATGCAAGTTTACACACTCCCAGGAATGTCATACATGATGGATCATTAGCTTATACACAAACTTTCACACATCTAGATGGCCGGGCAGGGTGGGTGTGGAGCCAGAGACAGCAGGGGTTCAAACTGTAGAAACCAGTTCCTACATTTGAATATAAAAATGGATTTTACCAAACAAAACTTTGCTACATTTTATCTCTGGGACCCTTAGGATGACAAATCAGAGCAAGATTACTGAATGTAAGAATTGTTGTTGTGCACTCTCCTCAAACAATAGCATGATATTTTTTCACTGTAATAGCTACTGTAAATTGGACAGCTTTCTGCCCATATAAGACATGTCTATGTCCTGGAAAGTTTACTGTTACTTACAACAGTCATGCTATTCACATTAGAGCACGTTAGCTCAACTGTCCCATGTATGGGACACTGATCCCGTAGAGGTTAAAGCATCCACGATATCAACATTATAGTTTTAACCATGTTTTGAGGCTATACAGTGTTTGTCTACATTTACTTTGTTTACAAATATTGGAGTAAAACAAGCTTATATTTTTGGTTCTGATGGGGTACTACAGTTGAACTAAGTTCATGAGGCATTTTGAAGTTATATTCTTCAAGAATGAATGGGTACATATCATATGTCAAAACATCTATGTAGCAACTGAGCTCCTGTAAGTCGCTCTGGATAAGAGCGTCTGCTAAATGACTAAAATGTAAAAAAATGTAAACTGCAGATTTCCCCTTTAACAAAATACAAATTTTGAATATTGGCAACCTTGCTCAACACATATCTTCTGAACACATTCGACCACACCCCTTACATTTCTCTTGGTCCTCAAATGTTTCTTAAACAGACAATGCACAGCACCGAAGCCACACAGTCTCAACCAACACACACCTTCAGGTACAATTATAGAAGTCTGAGGGGTGCTTTTATAGGCTACACTTGACATGTTCCTGCATACAAAACAATCAATAGCAATGGTCAGTTTGGCATTATGTTACAGTATAAAGCTTATTTATAAATGTGATAAATAGCCCTAAATTCCCATCCAGACAATGCAATAGGTTAGAATTTGAGATCAAATTCGGACTATTTTATGCGTAATGACTGTGTAGCCTCGCCCATTTGATAAATATTAAATGATGGGAGCGTGCAAAGGGGTGCGGTCTTTCCTGTAGTCGGGAACGGAACCGGAAGTTCCGCCATCTCCTTGTACCATTCGAGCTACAACAGGGTCAGTATAGACTTAATCTAGATGTTCATTATGGTATATTGTCAACAGTTATTAAATATTATAAGTAATATTGACATAGTGAACGTTCCATAACCATCGGTTTTATGTTAAGGATGGTGGTGTCACTCGATCAGATCATAAATACCACTCGTATTCTGTTGCCACTTGAGCAGCTAGCCAGCTAGCAACAGGGTTCAACGTTATCTCATATGTTTGTACTATCGGCTACATCAGCTACCTAGCTAGGTAAATGGCAATGTTTCATTCAGTGTCGTGACAGGAATACCAATATTTAGTTAGTCGGCTTTCTCTCTCACGCTTTCCCCTTAACCCCCACCATAATTGTAAAACGTTAAAAGTGATTGCGACTGAGAGAGCCAAGGAGAAGAGGAGTTAACGGTAAGTGGCTAACGTTTTCCAGCTGATAGCTGGGAGGGTGGTACCAGATAGCTAACGTTAGCCAGCCTAGCTAGCCAACTAATTTGTTAGTGACCCCTTTTATCTGGTTTGGATGGCCTTCTAAGTTTGCCAATCAAGTTCATTACACTTCCCATTTTGTTCTTTGGCAGTAGTAGTTCAAGTATTTCCTGTAGTAATGTTTGCATTGGTGTTGAATCGCTATGTAGACTGTTGTGAGAGATGATAACTGGTTAGCATGCTAACTGGGTGGGGGTCTCTGGCTCAGGAGGGTGTGTGACTGTCTGATAGCGACTAGGAAGTGGGAACGAGCGTAGAGGCCACAGTTCTGACATTGTCTTGATCGTTACACCGCCCTTGTTTTTCTGGCGTTAAGCACAAATATGGGCTAGTACTAGCGCCATAGCTTTGGCTTGCTAGCTAGTTCAATAGTTTGTTAGCTAGCTAATATTAGACTCAGCCAACTAGCTAAGTTTGTCTGGCTTCAGCTAGCTAGTTGCATGTTGGGGGTTTGCTTGCCAATGATGCATCTGCCGTTGAATCCACATTTTATGTCTAGGTAAAGTGTCAGTGAAACTCCAAGCAAGTTCTGATACTTATTCCACTGTAGGCTGTCCTGAATATTTAAATGTCAATGACCTCAACCCTACACATCATAATGTGGAGCACTGCATTAGCTAAGCTCCTTATCAATAGTTGAACTTGACAGTACAATAACATAGCTACATGCAACAGGACAGGAGACGTCCAGGTGTTGCATGTAGCTATGTTATTGTACTGTCAAGTTGAAACTATTAATAGGGAGCTTAGCTAATGCAGTGCTCCACATTATGATGTGTAGGGTTGAGGTCATTGACATTTAAATTCAGCACAGGAGCATTTCTCAATTCTTGAATTGGAATTTCAGATAATTTCCTCAATTTACGTAGAATTGGCCTGAACCCTGTTGAATTGTGAGAGATATTGGCTAAACTTGTCCCTTATCTACATTCAGTCTTGGTAGATGCCTTGCATGAACTTTGGAACGTTGCTCCAGTAATCTCTAAACTGACTTTTGGAATGGTTATCTCTCTGCTGTGTTATGCAACCTAGTCTCCTATTAGTACAACCTGTCGTCTTCCACTCCTTATTAGTCTGGTTGGCCACACTGTGCTAGGGTTATTCAGCAGCACTGAAACAATTTTGGCAGAGGAGACGGTAAAGTCATATAGGAATATGTTGTACCTACTTATTAGATGAGTTTATTAGTCACATACACAGGGTCACAGATGTAAATGCAGGGCACAGTGAAATTCTTAAGCTCTGAGCTCCAACAGTGCAGGTCAAAAAGAGAAGTGAATGAAGCCCACTGGGATTATTCATGCCACAGCATTGTTAAACAGCCCACAGAGTACTAACATGTAGTTCAATGACGTCAAATAGTGACACTGTTCAAGCCTGCATGCGATGGCCATGCCCATCTGACAGCATTAAGTGGGTCAGATAGTGAAAGTGAATCAAAACTAAAGTAGGGGCCCTTGAGTTTTTCATAGATGTCAACCATGCCTGTCCTGGTACTGTATGTGTGGACAAGAACGTCAAGACTGCTGCGCCCCTGCCCAAAACACTATGCCTAATTCCAATTAAACCCTGCCTAGCCCATACATAGCCTAGCCTACGTTGTGTTTGGGGTGAGGAGAAGCTCAGGGTTTTCACTTTGGGGCCCTCAACACATACCGGTAAGATTAGTGTTGTCATCTCTCGCTCCACAGGTTTTTTATCACCCCAAATCTGTGGTTTTGGGACTCAATGTCTCTGTGAGGAGAGATGGACAGCCTGAGACAGAGCGCTCTGTAAACGAGTGGAGCCAGAAAGAGAGAAACCGAGTGAGAGAGTGAGTGTGTGTGTGCTGAATTTCTCTCTCTGTTGACATAGTAAAGGAGCACTATGTCCACTCAATTTGATTGCTGGTTTAGCTTTTCTCTTTCACCCAATGTCTGCCTGTTTATCTTGATGTCTCTCTCTATCTTGCTGCTTTCCTTTTTCTCTACTAGTTTCTTCTTCTCTGAGTTAGGCTACTCTCCTCCTCTCTGAGTTAGGCTACTCTCCTCCTCTCTGAGTTAGGCTACTCTCCTCCTCTCTGAGTTAGGCTACTCTCCTCCTCTCTGAGTTAGGCTACTCTCCTCCTCTCTGAGTTTAGGCTACTCTCCTCCTCTCTGAGTTAGGCTACTCTCCTCCTCTCTGAGTTAGGCTACTCTCCTCCTCTCTGAGTTAGGCTACTCTCCTCCTCTCTGAGTTAGGCTACTCTCCTCCTCTCTGAGTTAGGCTACTCTCCTCCTCTCTGAGTTAGGCTACTCTTCCTCTCTGAGTTAGGCTACTCTCCTCCTCTCGAGTTAGGCTACTTCCTCCTCTCTGAGTTAGGCTACTCTCCTCCTCTCTGAGTTAGGCTACTCTCCTCCTCCTGAGTTAGGCTACTCTCCTCCTCTCTGAGTTAGGCTACTCTCCTCCTCTGAGTTAGGCTACTCTCCTCCTCTCTGAGTTAGGCTACTCTCCTCCTCCTCTCTGAGTTAGGCTACTCTCCTCCTCTCTCTGCCGCTCTCTCTCTGTATTAACTCACTGTACACTTTGCCCTGGCTGCTATTTGTTTTGTGTTGTATTAACTGTTTTACAACCACTGTCTCTCTCTCTTTCTCTGTGTGAGTCAGATTTTCAGTGGAACCTGACAGCCAGACGGTTGCCATGTCGACCTCATCGCTACGGCGACAAATGAAGAACATTGTCCACAACTTCTCAGAGGCCGAGATCAAGGTTCGCTCGTCCTCTTCCCCCTTTCTTTTCTCTCTTCCTCTCCGACCACTTTTCCACCTACACATCTTTTAAAAATGTTATTCTTCTCCGTTTCCCATTGTCCTCTTCCTCCTTTCCTCATCACTTCTTTCAAGGCTATCTCACCTCATCCTCCTCCTCTGCTTCCTCCCTCTCCAGCTCTTTCTTCCTTTCCTCTCCTCCCTTCTGTCTTGACTTCTCTTATCTATTGGTACTTTTCAAATAATACATTCCACTGTGTACTCCCTGCATCACCTCCTCTCTCTATCTGGGTGAATGTAATCATGTTATCCATTCATCATGATGGTTCTATCCAGCCTGTGTATTCTCACACCTCATCTCCACACCTCTGAGAGCAGGAGAGATGATCAGTTAAGGTGACCTACGATCACGGCTGTGGACTTATCAGGGGTTCATTTGATTAAAGTACTTTGCATAATTGTTTTGTCTGTTTTTACATGTTTAGTCGTGAGGTTCATATCGTAATATGTTTTGTTTGCTTGAGCTTGCCAAGGGAATGAATAGTCTGTTGTCTTGATATAAACTACCAGTTGATTAATCAATTAATTGATCACTAAATCACACCTTAATTGTTCAATGTTGACTGCTTTCAAGTTTTTCTGATGTTCCATGTTCCCCCCCGTCCCTGGTCTCCTCCCCCCCTTGTCCCTGGTCTTTCCCCCCCTTGTCCTTGGTCTTTCCCCCCTTGTCCTTGGTCTTCCCCCCCCCTTGTCCTTGGTCTTTCCCCCCCTTGTCCCTGGTTCTTCCCCCCCCTGTCCCCCGGCCCCCCCCCCCCCTTGTCCCTGGTCTCCCCCCCCCCCTTTGTTCCTGGTCTTTCCCCCCCTTGTCCCCGTTTCCCCCCCCTGTCCCTGTCTCCGGTCGGGGGCGACCGACCCTGGCCAGCACTCTCTGTGTCAAGATCCAACCTGACCTACACTTGGCCTCTATCATGAGCTGGTTGCCCCCCCCGCCTGAGACCTCTACGGTGCTGGTTGGTGGTTGGTGGTGAGAGAGGAAGTGAAAAGGAAAGTTGTGCGAATGTTTGTTCAATATTGACCATAACAAGAACGGGTGACATGTAGTCTGTCTGTCTCGTTTGTCTGCTCACACACACTTACTCTCACTGTTGTATGTGTGCACATAGAAATAGGAATTAGAATACTAGAATGGACATAACCAAGTATTTGTGTAACTAAAGCAAGATAAACCACAGCCCGTCGTTTCAAATGGGAACAAATGTGTCATAGTGGGCAGAACAAGCAAGGAGGTGGGCAGAGCCAAACACGAGCTAGCGAGATCCTATTGGCGCGTTCTAGCATGCATTTGCATATTTGCAATAACTCAATTCGCCTTTGCACTGTTTCTAAACAATGCATATTTTTTTAATACTTTAGCAAAGGGTAAAGTTTACTAAACTTAGTCCACTCTGTTCATAACAGATTTTAGTTTTGGAAACAGAACTGTATTGAGATCAATTGTTTTATCGATGAGAAAATTAGCAGAATGTCTGCCAAATCCATTCCATCTTCTCCCATTGCCGGACACTGGGCTTCCTCTCACTACCAAATGTGAGTGGAAACGCCAAACGGATGCTTCACATTTATACATCCGGTGAAATATCTGTCTCATTGTTCTATCTGTGACATAAGGCTTCTTATGACAGTATAAAATATCAGCCATTTTGGTAGGTCAGCCAGTGATGAGATATTGTGTAAAACAACGAATTTGAAGATTATCTGAACATTATGCTTGTTATCTAGCCAGTCCGTTTTTAGTGGAATCAATGATTCCATGAATTCTTAAAATTAACTGCCATATATCCGGTAAAGAGGTCAATGGAACGCAGACCGTGGGGAATAGAATAAGGACGCCGGATTGGTGCAAATTCAACCAATCTGATCTAACAAGGTGGATATTCGTCAAATCCGTCATGGTTGATGTATTGTAACAGGCTCACAATGTGGTTACTAAAGTCTGATTTGACTGCATAACATTTAGATGTAGTTCCTTTTCAGGTTTAGAAGATGTTGACTGCTAAATGCGAACTCCCGTTCATATAAGCTGGTAGCATAGCTACACAACATACCTGGTATCCGCCAAACCCAGATTCGTCCGTCGGACTGCCAGATGATGAAGCGTTATTCATCACTCCAGAGAAGGCATTTCCACTACTCCAGAGTCCAATGGCGGCGAGCTTTACACCACTCCAACCAACGCTTGGCATTGCACATGGTGATCTTAGGCTTGTGTGCGGCTGCTCGGCCATGGAAACCCATTTCATGAAGCTTCCGACAACAGTTATTGTGCTGACGTTGCTTCCAGAGGCAGTTTGGAACTCGGTAGTGAGTGTTGCCGAGGACAGACAATTTTTTCGCACTGCGCGCTTCAACACTTGGCGGTCCCGTTCTGTGAGTTTGTGTGGTCTACCACTTCGTGGCTGAGCAGTTGTTGCGCCTAGACGTTTCCACTTCACAATAACAGCACTTACAGTTGACCAGGGCAGCTCTCGCAGGTCAGGAATTTGACGAAGTGACTTGTTCGAAAGGTGGCATGCTATGACGGTGCCACGTTGAAGTCACTGAGCTCTTCAGTAAGGCCATTCTACTGCCAATGTTTGTCCATGGAGATTGGATGGCTGTGTGCTCGGTTTTATACACCTGTCAGCAACGGGTGTGGCTGAAATAGCAGAATCCACTCATTTGAATGGGTGTCCACATACTTTTGTGTGTATATAACGATGACATGAACCTGTATTGGGGTTGACATCCATAAAAGCATTATACTCAGATTTGTACCTCAACATAGTGTGAAATACACATATAAACAGTAGCCTAAATGAAGGCTAATTTTGCTGGGGGGCAATGAGGAGATTCAGGATCTTCCTTCACTGCCCTTTCTCACACTAGTTTCCATGGCAATTCCATTGTTTTGGTCGAGTTTGATTGACCTCTTTACCGCATCTACGGCTGCCATTCTCGTCCCATTCTGGAACTTTGAGGGTTTATGACATAGCTTCTCTAGTAATTTAATAGGATCTCTATGGTTTCTACTGTACTGTGTGTTCTCCAGGCTATGACTCTCATGGAGTACCTCATAAAGACGGGTTCAGAGCGCGTGGCTCAGCAGTGCAGAGAGAACATCTACGCTGTCCAGACTCTCAAGGACTTCCAGTTCATCGACAGAGACGGCAAGGACCAGGTACGACGCGCGCATGCACATGCACACACGCGTACACACACACATTCCCAAACACATACTGGTACAGAATCACCACTCGCCTCTCATTCAAGGACTTTTTACAATGTTTTCACTGTGACCTCTTATACAAACACAGAGTGAAAAGCCAACAGTAACATGTTTATGGGCTGGTAATGGCTGGAGAACAATAGAGCAGGTCACAGGGAAAACACTGCATGGAAATGGAAAAGACTGAAAACAGGAATGTAGGATGTAGCACTTAGTTTGCAGGTAAATAACTGACATTTATCAACTGTTAGAATTCAGGGACACAGCTGCGTTGTTATGAAGGTTGTGCACTGAGTGTTGTATGTACGCATGTGCTTTTCACCTGCATGTGTGTGTGTGTCAGGGGGTGAATGTGCGGGAGAAGGCCAAACAACTGGTAACACTGCTGAAGGACGAGGAGAGACTACGAGAGGAGAGGATCCATGCACTCAAGACCAAAGAAAAGATGGCACAGACCACCAGTGGTGAGAGACAACTACGTTACCCATCCTGCACCAGCCACCAGGGGTTCTGAAAGGGATTAAGGAGGAAAGCAAACCACAGACAGAAATGTAGTTTTAAGTTGTCTGCTGTGATGCAGAGTTGCCCTGATCCTGGAGAGATGCATGTGGTGTTTGCAGGCTTTTGTTCCTGCCCAGCTCTGACTATGCCATGATTCAAACAATAATATTCTCTTTCCCCACCTTTCCCTGTCCTCCGGTCCCCTCATCCCATCCCCCAGCCTCTTCGGCCCCCTCAGCTCCAGGTCTGGGGGGTGGAGCTCTGTCTCAGGGCTCTCACTCTGGAGGGGCGGACCCAGAGCAGGCGTGGCCACAGAGCTCCGGGGAGGAGGACCTGCAGCTGCAGCTGGCCCTGGCCATGAGCAAGGAGGAGGCGGAACAGGTACACAGTACAGCCAGCCAACCTGGAGCTGGTGGAGGGTAGGCTGAGCCCCGCTGGCCAACCACACTGTTAACCTGAGGTCCAATGGTTTGATAAACGGGTTGATTTGTATAGGATATATGCACTGTACACCCTACAACCACTATACATAGAATATATACTCATATAAACTCAGCAAAAAAAGAAACGTCCCATTTTCAGGACCCTGTCTTTCAAAGATAATTCGTAAAAATCCAAATAACTTCACAGATCTTCATTGTAAAGTGTTTAAACACTGTTTCCCATGCTTGTTCAATGAACCATAAACACTTAATGAACATGCCAAAAGGAAGATGTCCCGGGTCCCTGCTCATATGCGTGAACGTGCCTTAGGCATGCTGCAAGGAGGCATGAGCACTGCAGATGTGGCCAGGGCAATAAATTGCAATGTCCGTGCTGTGAGACACCTAAGACAGCGCTACAGGGAGACAGGACGGACAGATGATCGTCCTTGCAGTGGCAGACCACGTATAACAACACCTGCACAGGATCGGTACATCCGAACAGCACACCTGCGGGACAGGTACAGGATGGCAACAACAACTGCCCGAGTTACACCAGGAACGCACAATCCCTCCATCAGTGCTCAAACTATCCGCAATAGGCTGAGAGAGGCTGGACTGAGGGCTTGTAGGCCTGTTGTAAGGCAGGTCCTCACCAGACATCACCGGCAACAACGTCGCCTATGGCCTATGGCACAAACCCACCGTCGCTGGACCAGACAGGACTGGCAAAAAGTGCTCTTCACTGACGAGTCACGGTTTTGTCTCACCAGGGGTGATGGTCGGATTCGCGTTTATCGTCGAAGGAATGCGCGGTACACCGAGGCCTGTACTCTGGAGCGGGATCGATTTGGAGGTGGAGGGTCCATCATGGTCTGGGGCGGTGTGTCACAGCATCATCGGACTGAGCTTGTTGTCATTGCAGGCAATCTCAAAGCTGTGCATTACAGGGAAGACATTCTCCTCCCTCGTGGTACCCTTCCTGCAGGCTCATCCTGACATGACCCTCCAGCATGACAATGCCACCAGCCATACTGCTCGTTCTGTGCGTGATTTCCTGCAAGACAGGAATGTCAGTGTTCTGCCATGGCCAGCGAAGAGCCCAGATCTCAATCCCATTGAGCACGTCTGTGACCTGTTGGATCGGAGGGTGAGGGCTAGGGCCATTCCCCCAGAAATGTCCGGGAACTTGCAGGTGCCTTGGTGGAAGAGTGGGGTAACATCTCACAGCAAGAACTGGCAAATCTGGTGCAGTCCATGAGGAGGAGATGCACTGCAGTACTTAATGCAGCTGGTGGCCACACCAGATACTGACTGTTACTTTTGATTTTGACCCCACCTTTGTTCAGGGACACATTATTCAATTTCTGTTAGTCACATTTTTACATTTTAGTCATTTAGCAGATGCTCTTATCCATAGCGACTTACAGTTAGTGAGTGCATACATTTTCATACTGGCCCCCCGTGGGAAACGAACCCACAACCCTGGCGTTGCAAGCGCCATGCTCTAACAACTGAGCTACAGGGGACTGACTGTGGAACATGTTCAGTTTATGTCTCAGTTGTTGAATCGTGTTATGTTCATACAAATATTTACACATGTTAAGTTTGCTGAAAATAAACGCAGTTGACAGTGAGAGGACGTTTATTTTTTTGCTGAGTTTATATGATAACAGAAGTATCCGGGCATAGGAAGGTTAACCCAGGACAATGTGTGTTTCCATTCACTCACCTTTACCCTCTGACCCCTGACCCCCAGACTACTGTGGCCCCTCTGGAGGACGCAGAGCTCCGCTATGCACTCACACTCAGCAAGGAAGTACAAGAACAGGTCAGGGGGCAAAGGTCACCACCTGACCGACCGATCATCATCTACCTATCTATCTGTCAATCTGTCTAGCCAGCCGGCGGTCACTCCATCGAGTCTTAATCCCAATCAAAATGAATGATATTCATAGGAATTATCTGTTGTTTCATTAATTCCAAACACACAAATGTCAATGGGTTAATAATATAAGCGGGTAAGAAGGAAATAAGTAGTTTTTAAAATAACTCTCCTATGATTTCATCTGTGTAAGATTATGCATGGCGAAGACTTCATAATTGGAATGACTCAATTTAACCCGTAGCAGTTTCTGAATGAGGGATTACTACCATTTTATTATTCCATTGCAAATGACTGTTCTCAAAGCATGCCTCAAACTACACACACAATGACATACTTAAACACACTCAGTTAAAGGCATCTTCCAGTGCCAGCACTCTGCAAATTGTAGGGCAGTATTCAACCAACACCGGTATTCAGAAGTTTAGAGGGTAAGGCAAACCAACACTCTACCTAAATATAAAGACAGGTTGTTTTATCCCAGTTTACTTTCTTTTGTCTCACAAAAATATATTTAATTTATTTATTTTTATTTTACCTTTATTTAACCAGGTAAGCCAGTTGAGAACAAGTTCTAATTTACAACTGCGACCTGGCCAAGAGAAAGCAAAGCAGTGCGATTAAAAACAACAACACAGTTACATATGGGGTAAACAAAACATAAAGTCAAAAATACAACAGAAAATATATATATACAGTGTGTGCGAATGTAATTCTTAATTATAGATAAAACCTCAATGTCATTCTAGGACCACAATGTCATTCTAGAATCCCGACGTCATTCTAGAATGTCAACTTCCTTGTAGAAGCACAAGAAGAGGACTGTTGGTTTGTCTGCCCATGAACACTGCTAGATACAGGTAGTGGTTGAATAGAAAGCCCTGGCAGACAGTCCATGTCCACTGTGGCTGGGACCCTGAACAGTTTCTTCAGATGGTGAAGTTGGAAGCTGCCCATAGCGGCTGGTCTAGAATCAGTTTTTGATTTCCTCAAGGAAGGGAGAATGTTTTTCAACTCCCTAACGTGGGTTGAGGAGAGCTGATCTGAGAGCAGTCACTAAAGGCAGCATCTCTCCTGGAGCTTTGCATCAGGGTCAGATATGCTTCCTGGGGGAGTGAAATTAAGTTTCTCCCTAGACACTGATCTAATGTCAGTTTAGCATTTTCACCCCAAATGGCTTTGGCTACAATTTGGAGGTAGTAAGCTGAACCTAGATCTGTGCCTATGGGCTGGCCTGCCCGAGCGCTTGTCGCAGGTGATGACATCACAGCTGTATGTGATTGGCAGGAGGAGAGGCTGCGCAGGGGGGACGACCTGAGACTGCAGATGGCCATCGAGGAGAGCAGGATGCAGAAGGCCAAGCCAGAGGAGGTGTGTGTACGCCAGCCATAGGGGAGGGATGGATGGGGGCCTACACACACTCTTTAGACAGTACCACTCTGTTCCTCATTCTCTCTCCTGGTGTTACCTGCTGTAGTTGTGTCTCTCACCTGTGCGTTCTGTGTGTGTTGAGTGAGTGGAGAAAACTGAAAGCTAAGGTAGTGTAGGCCTACACCAAAAGTGTTTCTGAACCCTATCAGGTATTCGTAAGCTTTTTAAATTAAAACTTGTGCTTGAGCACTGAATGAGTTTGCCAATTATCTCAGTGACCGGTCAGCAACATCAATACCCAACGGACCGGTGCTGGTCCCCAGACCACAGGTTGAGAAACAAGAAACACCACTCGCTCTCCAGTTCCGGTACTAGTTGATCTATCCCTTCTTTCATCCTCTGCTTTTATCAAGGCAACTGTGTGTGTGTGGTCTGTGTGTCAAGATTTGTTTAGTGTGTGTGTGTGTGTGTGTGTATGTATGTTAACTAAGCGTATGCTCTGTGGTTTTGATTTTGTGTGTATGAGAGACAGAGACTACACTAGCCTTGAGCTCATTGACTTATCTTGGTGTCTGTCCTACAACATCAGTGTGTGTTATAACCTGTGTACTATCCTCTCCCAGAGTGCGTTAATGGAGCTGAGTGCTGTGGACCCCTGGGGGGCTCCTGCTGCTGCCTCTGGGGGCTCTGCCGGCCCCTCACCCCCTCCCACAGTCCCCCTCCCAGCCCCCTCTGCCTCTGGCCCCTGGGGCCTGGCCCCCGCAGACCCTTGGGGCACCTCGTCGCCCGCCACGCCGCCCAACGTAGACCCATGGGCTAGTGGAGGGACAGCCCCCCCAACGATAGCCCCCCCGCCAGACCCCTGGGGAGAGACGGCCTCCTCAAGAGTCAACTCAGTTGACCCCTGGGGACCCTCAGGTTAGTGACCTCTGACCTTTACTCCCCTGGCCTCATCTACATCTGTTACTCTCATTCCGTCTCCTCGTCCCACACCCCTACCTACTCAATCTGGATGGACATCAATACATTTGGTCTATTTTCCAATACTCTTCAAATGACCAGCATGTTTAGATCATTTGGAATGTGACCCTCCATATCTCAGTCAGGGATATCTCTGGTTTCAATAAAAGATCTCTGTCCGTTCTTACCTCCTTTCAAGTGAAAAGACTGGCTGTCCAGCTCTTCCATATCAGTACATATAAATGAGAGAAAGGAAGACCATATTGGACTATTGGGATCCAGCCCAGCTCCTTGTTCCCTGTATATTGTACGGTGTTGTGCCGGGTTGGGTTCCATTCCTGTTCAGTTCAAGAGATTAACAATCCTCATTGAAAATAAATGGCACTTTTGAAATCTTGAATGGGAATCCAATTCATCTTTTGAATTGACAGACTTGAAATAGTATTGACCCTGGTGTTGTATGTGACCCAAACCCCTGTGTGTCTCCCTCCCCCATAGCTGTGACCCCCCCCAGTGTCGACCCCTGGGGCCCCTCTGTGCCCCTCTCCACCTCCTCCTCTTTTGGGGGGCCAATAGACCCCTGGGCTGGGGATGGGGTTGACCCCATCATCACCTCTGACCCATGGAGCGACTCCGCCAAACACACTAACGGCACAGGTACAATCACACACACATTGACACACACACACACACATAATGGCACGGACACATGGATGAGATGCTCACTGACCCCCCCCCCCATTCACCCACCTTGCATTCCATCCTCCCTCAGTAATAATGGTATAATGCTGTGGTGTCTAATCAATGTTCATTTTCACGCTCTCTCTCTCTCCTTCCCTCCCTCTCTCTCTGTAGGACACCCAGAACTGCGAGGTCAGTTAACGGGCGACAGTGCGGGTTCTCCAGTGCCCTTTGACCTCACATCTCTGTGCTCTTCACTTCCTGTCCGTAAGACCCCCGAGTCGTTCCTGGGGCCCAACGCATCGCTGGTGGACCTGGACTCCCTGGTGTCTTCTAAACCCAAACCTAAACAACCACCACCTCCATCAATCTCATCCTCCTCAACACACAATCCCTTCCTCCAGACCACAGGTACTGATAAAACACACACACACACACACACACACACACATATTTTTAAGCACTTTGTGACAAATGTGTTTGTAAGAAATGAAAGGAAAGTAGATTGATTGAAGTATTCTCTCCTCTCCAGCCTCGTCTTCAGCTCCTGGCATGGCTGTCACCCCGGGCAGCACAATCTCCAGCAGGGGGGTTTCCCCGACGCCACCCCCCACCTCCAACCCTTTTGGCGCGGCCGTCCCCATGTCCTCCATCTCCCCACAGCCCTCCACGCTGGGGCTCAGCGGCCTCCGCACCAGCCCTGTACCGCCCATCCCCATGGCATACCCTGGCATGGGCATGGGGCCTATGGGAATGGGAGCACCAGGCCTGGGGATGGGCATGATGCAGAGCCCCATGGGAATGTCCCCCTATGGCGGCCTCTCGCCCATGGGTCCTCCTGTGTCCTCTCACTTCATGGGGCCCGGAGGGGCACCGCCCCCACAGCTGAATTTTGGGGGGCCTACGGGGGCGGCTGGAGTGATGGGGGCCGGGGGAGCAGTGGGAGGGGCAGGAGTGACGGGCGCCAGCACCAATCCCTTTCTTCTTTGAGGACGTTTCGGCACTCCCCCTTCCTCTTCAACACCCAATTCAGGCCCTGCCCCGCCCCCTGGCTCATCTACTGCCCCTCCCCCCAGAGCGATCCTCCTTCAACACAAACAATTTATGTTTCCAAAAAGAAACGTGTACATCTCTATATTTAAAGAAAAAAAAGAAAATCAAAATTTGTTATTTTCTTTCAGAAGCATTTACATGTATTTTTCTCCTAGCTCAGATGAATTTCAACAACAAATAAATCTTGTTTATTTTGGTTCCTTTAATTTCAGTGGGATGTAGCGGGAGGGAAATAGACGTTTATTTATTTTTATTTAGTTTTAATGTGTGTTAGTTTCTTTCAGTCCTTTCTGAAATAAATGTGTGGGTGTTTGAGAGTTAGGCTTCATCAGTAATGTCACTCAGATATAATATTGTATTATTGCACTGACCGAGAGAGAGAGAGAGAGAGGGGACATAGCCACTAACAAACTGAAACAGAAACAAACTCCTGTACCTGCCGCTTCCTCTCTCTGTCTGTAGAAGAAAAGAAAGGATGAGCATTGAAATGAAAAGAGTGCATGAAGGAGGATAAAGAACTCCTGAACAAGATTTGGACTGAAAAAGCTTATGTTAACAGTTCAGGCACAATATAGTCAAATCATTCAATAGCTGTTCTATTTTTAATTGAATGTTTAATGTCATTTCTTTCTTTCTTTTTTTGCTCCTGGGAATGAATAAACAAGGAAAAAAATTTTACGCAATTATGCCATTAAATCAAATGCTTATTTTTCTTACTGATTGTCATTGAAATCAAAAGAAGGCATCATTATTGGTTGAGGAGAGATGGAATGTGTTGTGTGGAAGAGAATGAGTGTGTGTCAATGTGTCTGTCTCCATTCATTCTGTGTCCTCGCTTATTTGTGATTCAGAAGGCAAGATACAAAATCTATTATTTTTGTTTTTAAAAATTGTCACTTGTAGCGATGCTATGTGATGTTGGGATTTCAAATGAGGTATTATAAGGGTCACATTTTTCTGCCAATTTTATTTCACAAATTTTTTGTATTAATCAGAAGCATTAGTCTTTCTCACTCTTTCATACAGGATGCCTAGTCTGCAGGTGTTTCTCTCGGCATGACTGGCACCACCTTTCTGTTTATCCCTCACTCCTACGGGGGGAGCGCTACAGATGCTTCTTTGAAAAAAAGACAATTAATTCAATGAATGAAAGAAAAAAAACTTAAACAACAGGGGACTTGATAACATGCTCCATGCTGTTTCTTTTAATTGAGTTTGATGAATTGATTGTTATTTTATATCAACTAAAAGATCTCTCTTTTATCGGGTAAGGTCATTTTGTGTGGTGTTAACTGTGAACATTCACATTTGAAAAGTAAAATGAAAAAAAATAAAGAAATTTAAGAAATAAAACAAATCCACAAAGGGTATGTCGCCTTACGTTACAAATCTGTCTGTTTGGTGTACTGTGTGTTTGATGTGCCAATGCTGTTGGACAGGGAAAAACTGGGACAATAATTCATTTTTATAATGTTTTATTAACGTGAAGTCTCCTCTGTCAGTTGGAGGATATATGCATGTCCAGAAGCTTCTGTGAAGACTTCCAGATGATGGGGATACAATTGCAGCAAATAAGCATACAGCATTCAGTCATAATCAATGTACCAATGACCATCCTCACTGTCAAGAGTAGTGTCTGTGTGTTTGTGGTGAGGCAGCTGAATATAGGGTGTAGTGTTTTGTATGTGAGCCCCCTCGGAGTAGGAGGAAGTTTCCCCTAGATACTGATCTAAGTTCAGTTTTGCATGTTTCCTCCCAGTGGTCCAGGTTTGTTTTTGGGGGAGAGTAAGCTGATCCTAGATCTGTGCCAGCGGGCAACACTGATCCAGTAGGCTTCCTGAATGGAATCGTGGGGCAAACAGAATCCACTCTGTGTCAGGCGATCAGAGAGTCCCAGTCAAAGTCATCTTGGATCTCCTCACTGTTGTTATGGAGATGTTTCATAGGGGGACGGGGTTTAGGTTGAACTTGGATCCCAGCTGTGTGAGAGTGGAGAAGAGAGGAAGACACTATGATAAGCCTCCTTTGTTGACTAGGAAAGAACTGCACAGACCTCAAACTATTACAAGGAGTACAACTCAAGTCCCTTTCAAAGCAGTTTAATGTTCACTTCCCTATTATCACTTCCCGTTTCCTCATCTCCTTCACAATGTGACGTCATGAGGTGACTGGGGTGGACTTTCCACCTTACCAACCCAGCCCTGTCCCTGTTACATTCGTGGTATTGAGGCCAACAAAGGCAAGGAAACAGGAAGCCATTTGATTACATCAGAGTGATGCACTGTAGCATGCCTACTATATTTGACTAAATAACCCCAACCTGTACCATTGAGCGAAGCAAAGCTTTACACTGATAGAAAATATTACTTTTTGTAAAACAAACAAAAATAGGCTTTGCAACAAAAAAACTTGCCAAAACACCACTACTGTGTACTGGAAGTTGTAGAGCTAAAGTACTGTGTAACTAGTTTAGAAAGGCGTCTTGTGACCATGGCTGAGGTCTCACCATTGGTCTGAGGGGCTCCGGGCTGGGTCAGGTGGGGCCTCTTTAGACTCTGGGTTTGGGGGTGGAGGGGCCTCCTGGGGGGCTGCCCACTGCTGGAAGGGGGGTAGGCCAGGGGAGAGGGGTGAGTCAGGCTGGCCAGGGTGGGGGTGTTGTGAGTAAGGGATGGGAGGAGCAGAGATTGAGGGGCACCGTGGGCCAATGGGGAGTTGTTACCGGAGGAAGAGCCAATCAGGCCCTTCTGAGTGAAGAAACGGTTCAGCGAATCACAGAGCGAAGTGAAGAGCGTTGGCTCCAGCGCCCAATCACAGAGCTCGGCCTGGCGCATGCTCTCCAGGAGGTCTGGAGGAGAGAGGGAGGATGGGGGAAAGAATAGCAGGGCGGAAGAGGAAGATTGACAAAAATAGTTATCACATTGACATAATGTAGAAATAAATGGGTAGCATTAATCTATAATAATCATGTCGTTTGTTAAGTGACCTGGGTGGCTAGTGAGGTCAATGTTGGCCCAGTCCAGACTGCTGGCGATCCTAAAGCTCTCCTTCAGAGCGTCTGTAGTACTGAACCAGTCTGCTGGCACCACTACAGAGATAAACAGAGAGAGAGGGGTGGCATAGTTTGTCAAAGACTTAGTTACTGTATCATATTCACATAGTGCAGTGACAAGCCTACAGACACAATTGAATAGATTTTTGAAGTGCTAAGGTGTTCAGGTGTTGAGTGTTCAAGTATTGAGTTGTTATAATCACCACTGCTGTGAGACAGTCTGTCTGCCTCAGGAGGAGGCCCAGGCGCTACAGAGGGTACAGGACGAGGGGAGAGAGGGGGGAGGGTTGGGGTGTGCAGTGGGGTACTGTCATTGGTCAACATAAATAAGGGACCCACGTCCGCTACAGAGAGAGAGAGAGAGAGAGAGAGAGTTAAACACTCACATACACACATTCTCTGACAGCACAGAGAGATACATATAAAAACACATTTAGAAAGTGAGAGAGAACGTACATTGCGAGGCCACTCTCTCCCTGACGCTTCTGCAGAGGGACTGGAAGGAGGTGTAGAGGTCTGGCAGGTTCAGATCAGAGAAGGAGAAACGGAGATGGGGATCACAGGAGTGAGACGAGGCGTAGGTAGGGGCAACAGAAAGAGATGGGACAGAAAGAGCGGGAACAGAGAAAGCAGGAACAGAGAGAGAGGGAACAGAAGAAGAAGGGAGAGTTTGAGGAGAGACAGAAGAGGGGACAATAGAGTGAGAGGTAGAAAAAGAGGGGAGAGAGTGAGGGAAAGAAAGAGATGGGAGAGAGTGAGGGATAGAAAGAGATGGGAGAGAGTGAGGAACAGAAAGAGAGGGGAGAGTAGCAGGGGCAGTAGATGGGGAGACAGTCGCATGGGGGACAGAGAGAGAGGAGACAGGGGACTGCATATAGGGTGGCCGTTGCTGTGGAATCAAGGTGATAGACAACAACAGCTTGTTATTTGGTTGTAATCTTTATCAATCTACTGGATACATTTGTTGGGACTGAACTTACTCTACCTTGCAGGGTGGGGGGGATAGTGAATGTTGGTGGGGTGATAGTTGTTGACTAGGTTCCTGTGGCGGTGCTAAAGGCGTATAAAGGTCTGTCTGGGGTGAATTCTGTTTCTCTGCCTGCATCACTGAGACATGGGGGACCTGGATGGACCCCTCCTCCTCTTCAGCTGGAAACGGACGCTTGGTTCCTCTCAGCGGATTGGGCTCTGAGGGGCTGTCCATCATCCAATAGGAACCCTGGAAACACAAGAGGTGGAGGGTTCTCACAATTTAGAGGTATTACTACAAAAGTACAAAAAAGTATGAAACTGTAATATATTCAGTATATTTTGAAATATCATACTTTTATCTATTTCTAGCCTAGGTATTGTATTTCACAGAGAACAGTGGATCACTGAGTGTACTGGCCACTAACGTCTTCACATGTGGCATCTATGTGGCCCTGTTTGAATGTTTTTAGAATGACTCACCTTCCCAGGGTCACTTTGGGGTCGAGGAACCTTCCGGAAGCATTTATTGAGGGACAGGTTATGGCGGATGGAGTTCTGGGAGGCAAAATAAGCATGAACATGTATTGCATTAACACTATTTTTGGACACTCGATTTTGGACAGTTTGGACATGGAGTGTTTGGAGTATTTCTGATTACTGCACCTTCCATCCCCTGCCAGATCTGCTGTAGTAGGGGAACATGTCACTGATCCACATGTAGATGTCATTCAAACTCAACTTCCTGCCAGGGGCGGCCCCTATCGCCATGGCGATGAGGGTGGCGTAGCTGTGAGGGGGCTTGGCTTTGGATCCAGAGGAAAGAAAGGGGGCAGGGATGGGGGGAGGAAGATCACTTCTCTCCCTCCCTCTCTCTTTCTTTCTCTCCCCCTCTTCTCCTCTCTCTCTTCCTGATCGCAGTGAGCTGACTCCCAGCTGGGGGAGCCAGTCTATGCTGGTTAGACTGGAGTCCAAGTTAGAAGACATGCTCTCTCTCTCTCTCTCTCTCTCTCTCAGGGCACTGAGAGTTGGAACAAAAGCCTGCAAACACTGAAGCCCTCCAGGACCAGAAGTGCCCACCTGCTGTAGAATATAAGATGTATAAGAACAGTTCTATAGAACAACATTATAGTAAGATTCACCACAGTAATGCAATACTGTCATCAGCACTGTAGTTTTAGATGGTGTTGTTTACATGTCACGTTGCGTTTCAATGGAAATATAACACTCACAATAGAGACTGACTTTGCTATGTGTCATAGCACTTCAAGTGTTTGTTTCGAGTTTTCTATTTAGTTAGGAGTAAGAGTGACTGACTTACCTCTCCCGCCTTGGTCACTGAAGGCCCCAAGGCCTCAAACACGTAATATTTGATGTTCTCATCAGTTGTGCACGACTCTGAGTGTCAGGTTAGTGTTATTCCTCCCTCTTTCTTTATCTCACTCTCTCATTCCCAATCGGTTGATCCTCACCAGCACTCTTATCGTCTTTTCTCTTTTTTTAAGTTTGTTTCAGTGTGGAGAAGAAAAAAAAACGTATAGCAGACTCTGCTTCCTTTTTCTCTCCCGCTCTCTTCTTCCCCTCTCTTTCAGTCTGCCCTTGAATGAGATCATCCACTCCTCCCTCTCTGTGACATCAGATTCTGTTCCTCCGCCTCTCAAGGGTTGTCTACACCCCTTGTCTGCTTGAGGAAGTTGCCACAGTTCTAGAATTAGATTACCATACCTTCATTCCGTGGGCTGTTAGAGTGAAAATACAAAACTACACTTATTTCAGTGCCTATAGGGTAATTTGTGAATTTTTACCTAGTCCTCTGTCTCATCTCTCCCCTGTGGACTGTAGAAGGTGGAGTGGAAGTGTCAGAGGAAAGCCTTAAAAATGGTGAAAGACTCCAGCCTCCCAAGTCATAGACTGTTCTCTCTGCTACTGCATGGCAAGCGGTACCGATGCACCAAGTCTGGAACCTGAACAGCTTCTACCTCAAGCTATGAGACTGCTAAATAGTTAAATACTTAACCAATAGCTACCTGGAATATATGCATTGACCCTTTTTGCACTAACTCTTGACTCATCACATACACTGCTGTTACTGTTTATTATCTATCCTGTTGCCTAGTCACTTTATCCCTACCTACAGTGAGGGAAAAAAAGTATTTGATCCCCTGCTGATTTTGTATGTTTGCCCACTGACAAAGACATGATCAGTCTATAATTTTAATGGTAGGTTTATTTGAACAGTGAGAGTGTCACGATCGTCATAATGATTGGACCAAGGCGCAGCGTGATATGCGTACATCTTTTTAATAGTGTACTGGCAACACGATACAAAATACAAAACAACCAATTGAAACGTGAAGTCCTCGGTTAACAACACAAACCAACACGGAACAAGATCCCACAAAACACAAGTGCACAACAGGCTGCCTAAGTATGGTTCCCAATCAGAGACAACAAGCAACAGCTGATTCTCGTTGCCTCTGATTGAGAACCACCCCGGCCAACCTAGAAAACACAAGAACTAGAAACTGAACATAGAACACAAAACATAGACCCTACACACCCTGGCTCAACATATAAGAGTCCCCAGAGCCAGGGCGTGACAGAGAGACAGAATAACAACAAAAATATCCAGAAAAACGCATGTCAAAAATGTTATAAATTTATTTGCATTTTAATGAGGGAAATAAGTATTTGGCCCCCTCTCAATCAGAAAGATTTCTGGCTCCCAGGTGTCTTTTATACAGGTAACGAGCTGAGATTAGGAGCACACTCTTAAAGGGAGTGCTCCTAATCTCAGCTTGTTACCTGTATAAAAGACACCTGTCCACAGAAGCAATCAATCAATCAGATTCCAAACTCTCCACCATGGCCAAGACCAAAGAGCTCTCCAAGGATGTCAGGGACAAGATTGTAGACCTACACAAGGCTGGAATGGGCTACAAGACCATTGCCAAGCAGCTTGGTGAGAAGGTGAAAACAGTTGGTGCGATTATTCGCAAATGGAAGAAACACAAAAGAACTGTCAATCTCCCTCGGCCTGGGGCTCCATGCAAGATCTCACCTCGTGGAGTTGCAATGATCATGAGAACGGTGAGGAATCAGCCCAGAACTACACGGGAGGATCTTGTCAATGATCTCAAGGCAGCTGGGACCATAGTCACCAAGAAAACAATTGGTAACAATTGATCCATTCCCCCCCAAAAAAACAAAAACAAAAAAAATACAAAAAAAAGAAAAAAAAGAAGAAAACAATTGGTAACACATTACGCCGTGAAGGACTGAAATATATATGTATTTGGTCACCTACAAACAAGCAAGATTTCTGGCTCTCACAGACCTGTAACTTCTTCTTTAAGAGGCTCCTCTGTCCTCCACTCGTTCCCTGTATTAATGGCACCAGTTTGAACTTGTTATCAGTATAAAAGACACCTGTCCACAACCTCAAACAGTCACACTCCAAACTCCACTATGGCCAAGACCAAAGAGCTGTCAAAGGACACCAGAAACAAAATTGTAGACCTGCACCAGGCTGGGAAGACTGAATCTGCAATAGGTAAGCAGCTTGGTTTGAAGAAATCAACTGTGGGAGCAATTATTAGGAAATGGAAGACATACAAGACCACTGATAATCTCCCTCGATCTGGGGCTCCACGCAAGATCTCACCCCGTGGGGTCAAAATGATCACAAGAACGGTGAGCAAAAATCCCAGAACCACACGGGGGGACCTAGTGAATGACCTGCAGAGAGCTGGGACCAAAGTAACAAAGCCTACCATCAGTAACACACTACGCCGCCAGGGACTCAAATCCTGCAGTGCCAGACGTGTCCCCCTGCTTAAGCCAGTACATGTCCAGGCCCGTCTGAAGTTTGCTAGAGTGCATTTGGATGATCCAGAAGAGGATTGGGAGAATGTCATATGGTCAGATGAAACCAAAATATAACTTTTTGGTAAAAACTCAACTCGTCGTGTTTGGAGGACAAAGAATGCTGAGTTGCATCCAAAGAACACCATACCTACTTTGAAGCATGGGGGTGGAAACATCATGCTTTGGGGCTGTTTTTCTGCAAAGGGACCAGGACGACTGATCCGTGTAAAGGAAAGAATGAATGTGGCCATGTATCGTGTGATTTTGAGTGAAAACCTCCGTCCATCAGCAAGGGCATTGAAGATGAAACGTGGCTGGGTCTTTCAGCATGACAATGATCCCAAACACACCGCCCGGGCAACGAAGGAGTGGCTTCGTAAGAAGCATTTCAAGGTCCTGGAGTGGCCTAGCCAGTCTCCAGATCTCAACCCCATAGAAAATCTTTGGAGGGAGTTGAAAGTCTGTGTTGCCCAGCGACAGCCCCAAAACATCACTGCTTTAGAGGAGATCTGCATGGAGGAATGGGCCAAAATACCAGCAACAGTGTGTGAAAACCTTGTGAAGACTTACAGAAAACGTTTGACCTGTGTCATTGCCAACAAAGGGTATATAACAAAGTATTGAGAAACTTTTGTTATTGACCAAATACTTATTTTCCACCATAATTTGCAAATAAATTCATTAAAACTCCTACAATGTGATTTTCTGGATTTTTTTTTCTCATTTTGTCTGTCATAGTTGACGTGTACCTATGATGAAAATTACAGGCCTCTCTCATCTTTTTAAGTGGGAGAACTTGCACAATTAGTGGCTGACTAAATACTTTTTTCCCCCACTGTATAGGCCCGTCTGAAGTTTGCCAATGAACATCTGAATGATTCAAAGGAGAACTGGGTGAAAGTGTTGTGGTCAGATGAGACCAAAATGAAGCTCTTTGGCATGAACTCAACTCGCCGTGTTTGGAGGAGGAGGAATGCTGCCTATGACCCCAAGAACACCATCCCCACCGTCAAACATGAAGGTGGAAACATTATGCTCTGGGGGTGTTTTTCTGCTAAGGGGACAGGACAACTTCACCACATCAAAGGGACGATGGACGGGGCCATGTACCGTCAAATCTTGGGTGAGAATCTCCTTCCCTCAGCCAGGGCATTGAAAATGGGTTGTGGATGGGTATTCCAGCATGACAATGACCCAAAACACACGGCCAAGGCAACAAAGGAGTTGCTCAAGAAGAAGCACATTAAGGTCCTGGAGTGGCCTAGCCAGTCTCCAGACCTTAGTCCCATAGAAAATCTGTGGAGTGAGCTGAAGGTTCGAGTTGCCAAACGTCAGCCTTGAAACCTTAATGACTTGGAGAAGATCTGAAAAGAGGAGTGGGACAAAATCCCTCCTGAGATGTGTGCAAACCTGGTGGCCAACTACAAGAAACGTCTGACCTCTGTGATTAACAACAAGGGTTTTGCCACCAAGTACTAAGTCATGTTTTGCAGAGGGGTCAAATACTTATTTCCCTCATTAAAATGGAAATCAATTTATAACATTTTTGACATGCGTTTTTCTGGAATTCTGTTGTTGTTATTCTGTCTCTCACTGGTCAAATAAACCTACCATTAAAATTATAGACTGATCATGTCTTTGTCAGTGGGCAAACATACAAAATCAGCAGGGGATCAAATACTTTTTTCCCTCAGTTTATATGTACATATTTACCTCAATTACCTCGTACTCCTGCAAATCGATTCGGTACTGGTACCCTGTGTATATAGTGAAGTTATCATTACTCATTGTGTATTTATTCCTTGTGTTATTATTTGTCTACTATTTCATTATTTTTTGTCTCTGCATTGTTAGGAAGTAAGTAAGTATTTCACTGTTAGTCTACACCGATTGTTTATGAAGCATGTGACAAATAAAATGTGATTTGGAGTAGGAAAGATGTAAGCCTCCCAGCACACACAGAGCACAGCAAAACCCACAAAAGTAATATGATGTCATCAAAGGGCTCCTGTATACGCTCCATTCTCCATTCCCCCTTCTAACACCATTTCAAAGATGATCAACATTCAGCAGTCAGCATGGAAAACAGCAGCATGGTTTTATTTCCGTACTTGTGTTCACACAGTGTTTCAGATGCATTCACAGATAACAGGAAGGAGCTTGTCTTCTCTACAGAGAGCTGAAGAAGGCTAGCAGGGCTGTGTCAGGGGATGGCTGGACCAACAGCTTCTGGATCTGTGGAAGGAAACATGATTCATCCACTGCTGGACACTATTTACATTACATAGGCTTATACAAGAGTAACGACTTGTGTAATAACCTATGTAATTAACATGTAACAGGCTGAGTGACATTGTGTAATCACAACACTAACTGATGAGACAATAGGTGGTGTGTGTATTCTGAAAGGTGGAGGCGACATGGTACAGTACCTCTCTAAAGTTGGGGTGTTTGGCATCTTGTACTAGCTGTAGAAGGACGGCCTCTGTTGTGGTCAGGAAGGCTCCACTCTGCCTCAACCGGGACAGGGCAAACAACCGGTCTGTCTGACTGGAGACGGAAATAGAGAAGGGAAAATAATATCTCAGCACCAGAAATGTTTAACCAGTGAAAATGTGAGTAATTGAAGAAAAATACTGAAGAGAAATAGTAGGGAACACAGTAGTACCTTCTGGATGAGACGGCATCAGCCACGATATGGACTTCCATACCCTTCTCCAGCAGGTCAAAGGTTGTGCACTAATTAGTGGGAGAAGAACAGATAGATGAGCCCTATTTACAGTACATTCAATTAATTATGAACTTGTTCCCAAGGATCAGTCTGAACAAGGCTCCAGATTCAGGTAGGGTAGGGAAAAACTGATCACAGATCTGAGCTTACGGACCAATTCCAGTCATATCTGAACCTGTGGTCTCACCGCGATGCAGGCCTGTGTCTCTATCCCACAGAGGATGGCTATCTTGGGGTCTCCCAGAGCTTTGAGCTCCTTCTCCACTGGCTCTATCATCATGGTGAACTTGGTCTTGGCGTGGGCTGTCAGGTCGCCAGCCCCCAGCTCAGGCACCGTGGGACCCAGGCCTTTAGGGTACTGCTCTGTCACTATGGAGGGGATGCCCAGAACACGGGCTGCCTGGGTTGGGGGAGAGGGAAGGAGAGGGAGAGACACACTGAATTTGTATTGAATGCTATGTGGGTGGCAACAAACTTTAACTTGTAATGAGCTGTATGAATATGTGTGTGTGTGTGTGTATGTGTGTGTCTACCTGTAGCAGTCTGGCTGCGTTGCTGACAATGTTGGTGAACTGGAAGATGTTGGGTCTGAACTTCTCCTGCATGTCACACAGTAAGAGCACTGAGCCCTTTGTTGACAGTCTGCCAATCCCTGCCACTGAGAGAGCAATATGTAATGAGACTAGAATAGACTAGAAGTACTATATCAAAAGGGTGCTCAATGGATCAGATTCAGAGGGCTGTGACAGCAAACATTCGTGACAGCAAAATCATGTTCTCAACTCTCAACATTTGTTAATTCAACTCTAGACACAGATGAGACAACAAGAGGATTCAATGCATGTCATTATTTCAATGTCAAGCTGTATTTGTATGTGTACTGTAGGCACGCTCACAGGGAATTCGTATGTCAACCTTGTATACATAGATATTGCAGCTTGTGCAGATTTGTCAATGCAGATTTTATATTTCACTGTAATGTTTTCAATGTATGTCAACTTTAAAGGAATGCATGTCCAGGAATGCCTTTCAAAAGAAAGTAAATAAGCATTAAATTAGTAAAGAAAATGCAAAAGGGATCAAACGTACTGTTGAGTGGGGGTTCGACGTGTGGTTGAACTTGAAGGTCCAACTTTCTACAGCTGCCGGACAGATGACGCCCCCTCCTTATTAGCAAAATGTAGGACATTTTTTGATTTTTGACAGAGCAAATTAGGTTACACATACAGTACACAACCAACATTCAGCATGCGAAATAAAAGACCGAGACTGTCATAGAATTAGACAATGATTACTAGATCAAGCTGTAAAATATATTGGCTAAACAGAGAGACATAAATAATTGCATTCACAACACACCTCATAAATTCACGTCTAGGTGAAAATAAACATGAGATCTACTTTCAACTTCGACCGCTGTACACAAATTACCCTAAAACGCCCCTCACATCCAATAAACCAATCGAATGAGATGCATTGAGCATTGACATTTGTTTCGGCCAATAGCATGCAGCGTTTTCCCCATAACGAGTGCGCTTCAGAATCTAGTGCACACACTCATGATAAGGACAGCTGAGGATGTCTGACAATGCTGAGTCCCCTACAGAAACGCAAAAAGATGAGCCTTCAACCCCACAACAGCCTACGGAAGACTCGGGGACGGCAGACGAGAAGAAAAAAAGTTAGTTATGAGCGAGTGTTTGACTCACAGTTAAATGTACAGTAAGATATCGTGCTTTCTGTTTACAAGCAAATCGACTGTTTACACTTCCGCAAATGTGACCTGGAAGAGGTTGATTGACAGTTGTCTCAGTCAATAGAATTTAAACAATTTTGTAAACAGCGAATGGTTGATCAGGAATGTCCATACATTTAAAGAGGGCAGGTACTGGCTGAATGGCAACGTTTAGCTAGCATTTCATTCTAGCATGCTGTAAAAGATGCAGTGAAATGAAGTTTACCTCTTACTTTAACACATTATCAAAAAAAAATTAAAGGCTGATACATCTTTTTTTTCTTTCTTACTGCATCAAACAGAACATGCCAAAATCAATTTTCAGACGTTACAGCCTGTGTCATGGTGAAAATGATCCCACAGTCCAAGATCTACCTATTTTTCCATCTAACTATAACATAGCTGGAAACCTATGATAGTTTAGGTTGCAAAATTAGGTTATGTGGCTAATAACACTGATCAGGGCATTCACTTTAGTCTAGTAGTCTATCGTTATGCAATGCAAAAATATATGTATTCTCTCTCTTCCTTCTTCTCTCCCTAGTTGATGTGTTGTTGAAGGCAGTAGGAGACACCCCCATCATGAAGACGAAGAAATGGTCGGTAGAGAAAGGGAGGACAGTGCAATCGCTCTCTCAGTTCATCTCTCGATTCCTCAAGATGGAGGCCAATGAACAGCTGGTGAGTTATTCTGTGTATACTTCTCAATAGTTGTCTCTTGTCTCCTTCCCTTCAGCTAGAGGAAGTGGACAGGTGATACCTCCGGTATATGCACCAATGAGGCAAATATATTTATAACTAACCCAAGATAGTTAATCTGTGTCGTTTTACAGTGGGAGCAAATAAAGCCAAGGATGAGCTAGCAAGATCCTATAAAGTACCACAGTATGAGTGATTATACCCATAAAACCTAGCGGTCAAACAGGGAAATGGTTCCAATTGTTTTTCCACCATTCATTTTTCCCATAGGGAATTTTAGAAACACTTCAAATAAGGGCTGTGTTTCGTGTAGGCTTACCCTGGCGTGAAGTTTTGATAACCGTGTAAACTTCCCTCGGACAAGGTGACTTTTATCAATATATTCGCCAGTATTTACCACCAACAAATGAAATGCTAATTAACTGCTAATGTGGCTATCATAAAGAACGACAAATGCCATGTTGATCTTGACAAGACTGACGAATCGAGGCAAAGTTAAGAATCTCTGGATTAACTATTTAATGTTAGCTAAATGTAGTAATTAATAAATTGGCAACATTTCTTAAAATGTACCTGTTAGCAAATGTGCCAGCTAGAGATGAAGTGCAGGAGCTTGCAGGGATTTGTAGTCTTGCATGATGTGTACTTTGATGTACATTTGCATATTCAAATCTGAGAATAAATAGAGGCTAATATATTGATAAAAGTCACCTTGTCTGAGAGAGATTGACATGGTTATCAAAACGTCACGCCAGAGTAAGCCACACGAAACACAGACCTTCATTTAAGTGTTTCTAAAATCCCCTATGGGAAAAATGAATGGAAAAAATGATTGGAACCATTTCCCTGTTTGACCTCTAGGTTTTATGGATATTATGACCTACTTTACTTTGGCAAAGCGTCAAGTCTATAAAACCTAGTGCACTGTGTTCGTAACATATTCTAGTTTTGGGAACATAATTTTTTTATTGAGATCAGATATTTAATTGATGAGAAAATTAGCAGAATGTCGGCCCAGTTTCACCTAGTTCCATCCTCTCCCACTACCCGCGACTGGACTTCCTCTCACTACCATATTTGGTGGTGAGAAAACGATCTAAACAGATGCTTCAGCTTTATAGCCCCTGTGACATGTCTGGGTTACCCTTCTGTCTGTGACTGAGGTATGAACTGGAGAAAGCATCCAAGATGGCCGACCGTTGTTTTCAACGTAATTTACTGCCCCCTGGCCCCTTGATATGCACCCACTTTACCCTTTCACCTGTGACTATAGTGCGTCAGCTTGTTCTATGATTCTTAACACCCATTGCTCTCTCTCTCTCTCTCTCTCTCTCTCTCTCTCTCTCTCTCCACACACAGTTCATTTACGTCAACCAGTCATTCTCTCCCTCGCCTGATCAGGAAGTAGGAGTCCTGTTTGAAGTGAGTACTTTTCATTTGAAATCATTTCTGGAGGCCTTGGGAAATGCAGTTTTTCTGTTATTTATTTGTCCTGTGGTGAGTTAGTTGCCCACCAGAGGGAGGTCTAAGTGAGCAGTTCCCTGTGAGACGGAACTGTTCTTATCCTCACAGTGACTACTGTTCCCTGGGGCCAGTACACTACTGTATGTGTTATGTCAATACAGGTCTTGAGTACTCACCAATGATGAATATAAACCCTGGATTGCTGATGCTATGTATTAGCCATTGAGAGGCTAGTAACATTAGTAATCTAATGTTTTTATATATTTTTTTACTTTTTATGTTTAGCTCATAATATAATTTCAAAGCATGCATTAAGGTGTCTGTAACAGAATACACGTGGCAAAAACGTGACTGCATGAGAAAAGGTGTGAGGTGATTCTGAGAATTTGGTTACAAAATAACTTCTAGCCCTAGGCTACCCCTTCAGTGTTTGCAGATCAGAAGGAACTGTATAGATGTTTGGCAGAAGCTCCACTAAGCTCATTGCAAGCCTGCATGATGGAGCCAGCATCACATATGACTTACTGTCTAATTCTACTCAGACCTGTTAACACTGGGGTAAATGGTAAAGGCACAGTTCTCCGAGTCAAACGGTCAGGGTATTGGTGTCCACTTGACCCCGTCTTGACCCATGGCCTTGACCGTTCCTATTAAAGACCTGCTAAAAATTCCAGCTCCCTTTCCTATTCTTCTAAAATAGTAACTCTTACCCTCTCTGTTTTTCAGTGTTTTGGCAGTGATGGGAAGCTGGTTCTACATTACTGTAAATCTCAAGCCTGGGGTTAACAGTTTTTTTTTGTGCCTTTTTCACTTCAAACTCACGCACACCGCATACACACACAATATTGTTTTTACTCCTTCCATGTCAAAACTAATGTTGTCATTGCTAATTTCTTGTTTGTGTTTTGCTGTACATAACCCAATGTAAATAAATTGTGACTATATAAAGTAAACTCACTCTGTCCCCTGGGTTGTCTCCAGACAGTTCTATACATTAATAGGAAAATGAAAACTCACTCTGTGGACTCAGGATTTGGCTTTGTAGTGTTATGGCACTGAGGATAGGAAAGAAAGATTGTGATGGAAGAAAATAGAGGAAAATAAATGTCAGCAAAAGATGGCAGTAGAAATATTGCATTGTAGTGATGGAAGTTATCTTGAGAGTATTTAGAAAAAAATGACTTCTGTTTCTTCTGTAGTGAGGCAACAATGCAGTTTTGATTTGAACAGGGGCATAGCCCGTCGGGCTAGGATACTTACACTAAATATAACCCCACACAGATTGAGATGATTAACACTTTGCATCAATTTAAACACAAACACTATAATGACATGGGATGGTGCCAAGAGAGGGTGAATGTTGAGCTGGGGTTAGTCAAGAATGGCAGAGGGGGTACCACAGAGGATGGATGGATGGAGGGAATGAGGGAGACTGATATGAGAGAAAGTACAGTAACAGATGGATTTAGAGGGATTACATGGATTCGGGATGGGTCTGTGACACAAATTCCCAAGAAAGACAGAAAAAGGAGGAGTGTGGCGGGGGACTCGCACTCATCCTGGAGCATAAGAGAGAGTGGGAAAGGAGGATAAAGGGAGAGGAGCATACCTGCTGGAGAGGTAAGGGTCACAACTGCCCATTCTGACAGAGGTATTAGTCAGAGAGAGGAGTAGAGCAGAGACTACTTGGGTACCCAGGGATGACAAAAATGCCGGAAAATTTGTGCAAAGTAATTGCTTGGTCAACGTAAATGTCTCTCAGCATATCAGAGAGGACTGAGGGAAAAATAGGGACATTGGAAAGAGGATAGGAAAGAAAGATTGTGATGGAAGAAAATAGAGGAAAATAAATGTCAGCAAAAGATAGCAGTAGAAATATTGCATTGTAGTGATGTATGTTATCTTTCTTCTGTAGTGAGGCAACGATGCAGTTTTGATTTGTTGCCAAATTTCAGGCTAAGAATTAGTAGTTCCTAGAACTGAATAAGCTGTTAAGAGTTTGAAATGGAGAAAAATAATGATGTACTTCCTGATGTGCTCTGTATGGTTGTTTATATATCTTGTACTGTCCAGTCTTTCTGTAAAAAAAAAAGACAACTGAAATGACAAAGAGAATGATGATAATGCTGTAGGTAACAGAGGAGAAGAGGATTATAGTGAAAATCACATTTTATTGGTCGCATACACATATTTAGCAGATGTTATTGCGGGTGTAGCGAAATGGCACTGGGTTTTTAACGTACAGTAGGTCATTTAGTGTTTTGCATTTTGAATTGTTGATTCATTGGCCATTTGTTATGCCAATGGATTTCAGTTTATTGACTGTTACAGAATGTGTTGGGTATTACACTTGAACTGGGTTTTCTTCCACAGAGCCATGTAATGACCTATGTAAACAATACCTGCAATCTGAAAAGTTGCCCACCGGGCATAGCCACGGGAAGTAGTTTGGGGGTGGGGGTGCTGTGATTTTATTTTGCCCACGCTACAGACGGCTAAATCGGTCTGCTAATACAGAATAGTAAATCAGTGCACTATTTTCAGGGATTTTTCAGGATCGTGACCCTCACACCTATATCCGGGCTATGCCACTGACTACTGGGTAATCTATCGTGTAACAGGCCAGGATCGCGAGCAGTGTGAGAGAGAGACCAGGAGAGAGAGAGCCAGAGTGGGTTTCACACTCCAACACACCTAACACAAACAGATTACAGCAGATTAACGTGGATTACCAGAAAAATGATTTAGATCAGAGGCTTAACTAATAATTTCCTCCTCTACTTTAAGTCGTGAGGAGGATGCCATGAGAGGTAGAGGCAGGCCAGAACCTCTTAATCAGGAAGTAGAAAGTTAACGTGGTGCGGGTCACAGAACGGTATGGATTACTAATACCTCCATAACCATCTGCAAACACACATGGAACTCTTGGACCTGTATGACCCATCACCCTGAGCATTACAATGAGTAAGATATACTATATATATATCTGCCCTAAGATGTGAAAACATACGGAAAACACTTGTATGCCAAAGCAAAATGTATTCCAATCATATCTCTCCATCTGATGATACATCATAGGTCTGGATCTAATAGTATCTGTATCAAGTCTGTATGATCAAAACTCACTGTATCCTCCCACTGTAGGACTAGAGTGAAAAGTTAGGCGACAGAGATCTAGATAGCATATCCGATAGCTATGTAAGGTTTATGATGAGATGCGGCTAGGGGCTAGTGATCTATTGACTCCCATTACTGTTGAATGGTTAGAGAGAAGAGCCATAGGGATCTATAACAGCATAAACTTTTAGTCCTGGCTCGGACAGACGTGTCCTCCTCCCATCCCTTTCTTTTCTCCTGGTATGACCCCTCTCCTCCGCTAAATCCCTTTGTTCATTTGTCCATCTGTTATTTCCCATCCCTCTTTTAACTTGAAACAATCTTATCCAACTCTTTCTCTTTCCCCTTCTCTCTCTAATCTTGCGTTCCCTTTGTATACTTTTTCTAATATTTTCTCTACATTGTTTTTATCTTCTCTTGTTTTTTTTTTACTCTGTTCTTTCTTGTTGAAACTCTCTTTCACTGATTTCAATCAATCACCAGAACTGTCATCATTCTTCATCATCCTCTACATCACCAACAACAACCTCATCCTCACATACTGCTGTTGATAATTATATCCCATCTTCCTCCCTTTGTCCATCTGTCTTTCACCATCCTCTTCTTCCTTCCCCTGCCCTGTGTCTCTACACACTTCCTCTCCTCCCGCCCTATCCCTCCTTCTTGACCTTCTCTCCCCCTCTCCCCTCCTCCCTGTGTGGCCATGTTGGAGAACATGTCTCGTCGGTCCCGCTCCCTGCTGTCCCTGTCCCTGACCACTCTGGCTCTGGCCCTGTCCATCCTGGCTCTCTGCACCTCCTACTGGTGTGAAGGGACTCACAAGGTGGTCAAGCCTCTCTGCCTGTCTCCAGTCAAGATGAGGAACTGTGGTCAGAACAACAGTGAACCCTACACCACAGGTATGCCTACGTAACTGTCACCTATGTAATTGTGATGTCATTTCCTGTGGCACTCTCAATACACCCAGTTCCAGAGTGTCATCCTAACTTATTGACCCACCCCTCGCTGTGATCATATGTATATCCTGTTACTGTCATCACTAGTCAGCCCTACGGATCCTACCAGCCCTAAGCTATTATCTAAAAGTTTGGATGTACAAGGGAGTCTGAACTGCATGAATTTGGTTGAAGTACCCATCTGAGTGTTAGATGAGTAGCAGGACAGTGTTTAACATAAGCATTACACAACTTCAACAACATGGTGACATCTGCCAGCCAATTATGACATACTGTCTTCTGACAGTTGAAACCCAATCACAACCCTCATCCAAGTGTTCCCACATGGCCAAACACCCAAAAGACACCATTTAGATTTTTTTACGCCAAACCAACTGTTTTCAAAGAAGTTGTCATTTTTGTCATCCCAGCAGTACATTCTGGCACACTTATGTGGCCTCTTCCCCTATTGTCCCAAGGTTTATGATACTGTACATATGTAATCTACCCCCCCCCCCCCCCCCCCCCAAAACCTGCCTCCACATCCCTCATTGAAACAACTTTGCTCTGAGCTGTAATCTGCTGGATGTGAGGAATGCAAATTAATCCTGGTGTTTTGTTCTGTCCTCTCTGCTCCCTGGTCTGTATTGTACATAATCCAGTGAGATTGAGATTAACAGCTCTATAACCATACATTAATCCAGTTAGAGAGCTGTAGCTGTTCTGTACAGTATGTACTCTGGCCAGAGCCCAGCACCTCTAACCACAGCAAGAGGCTCACCTGACGCACACGCTCACACACATGCACGTGAATACACACCCACGCTCACACACATGCACGTGAATCCACACCCACGCTCACCACTGAGTGAATACACACCCACGTCACACACATGACGTGATCACACCAACGCTCACCATGCACACACACCATCACACACACACGTGAATACCACCACGCTCACAAACATGCACGTGAATACACCCCACAGCTCACACATGCAGTGAATACACCCACCTCACACACTCATTGATACACACCTACACCACATCACTGCTGACTACACACACACCGCCACACATGCACGTGAATACACACCCACGCTCACACACATGCACGTGAATACACACCAACGCTCACACACATGCACGTGAATACACACCCACGCTCACACACATGCACGTGAATACACACCCACGCTCACACACATGCACGTGAATACACACCACCTCACACCACATTACGTAACACACCAGCTCACATCACATGACGTGAATAACACCCACGCTACACACATATGACGTGATCCAACCCACTCACACACATGCACTTATACACACCCACGTCTCACAAAAATGCCATGAATACACACCATCCTCTACACATGCACGTTAATACACACACGCTCACCACATCACGTTTAATACACACCACGCTCACCATCACTTGAGGATCACACCACGCTCACAACATGCCGGATACCACCAAGCTCACACACTGCACGTGAAACACCCAGCTCACAATGACGTAATACACACGCTCACACACACACTAATAACCACCACGTCCATCACGATGATACACACGTGATAACCTTAGTGTTGTAGACAATGGGGTATAGATTTGGGAGTAAGATAGGACCAACACGCTGACCCAGTGTCATTCACAATAAATGGGATGAGATTTCAATCAATCCCTACTGGGCATAGACGTCAATTCAACGTCTATTTCACATCAACGTTGATTCAACCAGTGTGTGCCCAGTGGGTCACTTCTTAGAAAGGATAAGAGGAAGACATCTGGGTTTTACTCAGAATGTTCAGGTATGTGTTGTGTAGAACAAATATGAACGTTAGAGAGGTGAACAAAAATATATTTTTCCACTGTCATCAGATGGATACCAAGATAATATTCTACTCTCAGAGAGCCCAAATCAGAACCCATACAACAGAACCCTGTCCCCACAGAGGAAATATAATATTCTACTCTCCTCAGAGAGCCCAACTCAGAACCCGTACAACAGAACCCTGTCCCCGCAGAGGAGAGATGAACTGGCTAAGATCCGCCAGAGACAGCTAGACAATGCTGTTCACTACATCTGGGAGACAGGAGAGGACAAGTACACCTTCAGATACTTCCACACTGGCTTCTGGGAGAGCTGTGAGAAACACATTGATGGTGAGAAAGGCTACAAGTGCTCTTTACTTTTCTCTCTCACAAAAAGTTGTAAACCGCTAATATTGTTCCAATTCTTTCCTCTAGGTGAGAAGTGTCGCAGCTTTATTGAGCTGACTCCTGGTGAAACACAAGGTTTGTCCAATCTCTCTCTCTCTCTCTCTCTCTCTCTCTCTCTCTCTCGCTGCCTGTGGTGTCTAGTTTTACATGATGAGGATGGGCGTCCCATTGATACATGTGTGTTTGTGTGGTATGGTTTTACTATCCTTGTGGGGACCAGAAGTCTTCACAACGATAGTAAAACAAGGAACATTTGGACAAGTGGGGACGTTCAGACAAGTGGGGACAAGGAAAAGGGCTATTTTAGGCTTAGGGGTTAGGTTTAGGGTTACAGTTAGGGTTTTGAGGTTAAGGTTAGGATTAGGTCAAAGGTTTAGGGTTAGGAGTTAGGGAAAATAGGATTTTGAATGGGAATCAATTGTTTGGTCCCCACAGGATAGTAAAACAAATGTGTGTGTGTCTGCAGGTGTGTTATGGCTATCGGTGATATCTGAGTTCACTTACATTGGTCTATTGGGAATGGGCTTTCTGTTGATGTGGCTGGAGCTGTTGTGTTCCCATAAGGAGATACACGCTCTCAAAATCAACGCCTATGCTGCCATCTGCACCGTACTGTCAGGTAACGCCTCCACTCCTTCACTTTCTCCTTAACCTCCCTCCCTCCGTTGTCTTTACTGTATCTTCCTCTGGAGCACTTCTCTTGAGCACTTCTCTTGTTCATATCCTTTCTCAACACCTCCAGACTTCACCTCTTTATCTCTGTCTGCCTCTCCCATCCTCTAGCCAAGATGTTGAATTAATTCATCAATGAAACAGTAAATCAATGCTTTTCTCTCTCCCCCCTCCAGGTCTGATGGGGATGGTGGCCCACATGATGTACACCACAGTGTTCCAGATGACCGTCATTGTTGGCCCTAAAGACTGGAGGCCTCAGACCTGGGACTACGGCTGGTCATTCGCGTGGGTTTACATTCACACTGTTAGCAGTGAATAGTAGAGACCCTTCTTTCATAGGACTCTCTCTCTAATGACCCCTCCCTCTCTCTCTGTGGTCTCTCCTCAGCTTGGCGTGGATCTCCTTCAGCTGTTGTATGGGAGCTGCAGTCTTCACCCTCAACTCTTACACCAAGACCATCATCGAGCTGCGCCACAAACAGAGGCTCCGATTGGAGGAGGCCCGCGCCGCCAGCCACGCCCCTCCCTATGATGAGGTGGTGCCCGGGGGCGGGCTCTACTCTGTCCGTGGCCTATTGCAGTGCCCGGAAGGGATGATTGACGTGGCGTGGGCGCCTGACGGGACCGTGATGGGGGTGGGGAACGGGGATGTACCAACTCTGGTGTTGGTAGGGGGGTGTGGGCCGGAGGGCTGTGAGGACTGTGAGAGAGAGATGGATAAGATGGAGGAGGCCATGGAGAGGGAAAGAGCTGATTCGCCCTGTTAATAAGAGATGGGTGGGGCTAAAGAGACCAGAGGAGGACTGTGGGTAATGTAGTCACATTACAGGTACTGTATATGCACCTTGAGCTCTCAAAATGGAAAGAGTGAGACAGAGACAGTGAGACAGAGACAGAGAAAGAGTGAGACAGAGAAAGAGTGAGACAGAGAAAGAGTGAGACTGAGAAAGTGGGAGGGGAATAGTTCTGACATAAGATATGAGAGAGAGGGAATTCTGATATAATTATCTTGCACTGCTTGTGGGGAAGAAGCAGAACTTGATGGACATTGGACACAGGAACTGTGTTGGCTGTAAGAGCAGAACTTGATGGACATTGGACACAGGAACTGTGTTGGCTGTAAGAGCAGAACTTGATGGACATTGGACACAGGAACTGTGTTGGCTGTAAGAGCTACAGTATCCCCACATTGACATTTAACAGAGATCACCTTGACATACATGGTTTGTGCTAACACTCCTCAAATTGTCATTAATTAATACAATAGTGCCTAATGGTAAGGGATTGTTATACAGTATACATGTATGTAAATGTATCCATGTTGGAAATAGTTTTACCATAAGTATCCAATACTTTCTGACCTTTGTAAAACATGCTTTTCACTTTGTCTGAATGGGTCCCGTTCTGAACCTGTAAAATAAACAATAATCTCTGTGTCCATCTGAAGTGGAACTGATGTTATTCATGCACTCCCAGCCCTCCTTCCCCCTCCTCTCCTATAGGAGACATAGACCATATCTGCATTTCTCTATCTCTCTGTGCTAGCTCTACTGTAGATCTCTCTGTATTTCTCTATCTCTCTGTGGTAGCTCTACTGTAGATCTCTCTGTATTTATATATCTCTCTGTGGTAGCTCTACTGTAGATCTCTCTGTATTTCTCTATCTCTCTGTGGTAGCTACTGTAGATCTCTCTGTATTTCTCTATCTCTCTGTGGTAGCTCTACTGTAGATCTCTCTGTATTTATCTCTCTCTCTGTGCTAGCTCTACTGTAGATATCTCTGTATTTCTCTACCTCTCTGTGGTAGCTACTGTAGATCTCTCTATCTCTCTGTCTGTGGTAGCTACTGTAGATCGCTCTGTATTTTATTTTATTGTATTTATTTAACCTTTATTTAACCAGGAAAAGTCAATTGAGACCCAGAGTCTCTTTTTCAAGGGATACCTGGCCAAGAAGGCAGTAACAATCAATACATTACAGAATTAAAACATACAACAATACAATACAATTCAACAACATGATCCAGCCTAAAACAAGCACTTACACTCCTCTGTAACATAGTCTCCCATCAACATTTTAAATTCATTCACTGGCACTAACATATCTACAGTACCAGTCAAAAGTTTGGACACACCTATTTGTTCAAGGGTTTTTCTTTATTTTTACTATTTTCTACATTGTAGAATAATAGTGAAGACATCAAAACTATGAAATAACACATATGGAATCATGTTGTAACCAAAAAAGTGTTAAACAAATCTAATCAAAATAGATTTCAGATTCTTCAAAGTAGCCACCCTTTGCCTTGATGACAGCTGAGCACTTGTTGGCTGCTTTTCCTTCACTCTGCGGCCCAACTCATCCCAAACCATCTCAGTTGGGTTAAGGTCGGATGATTGTGGAGGCCAGGTCATCTGATGCAGCACTCCATCACTCTCCTTTTTGGTCAAATAGCCCTTACACAGCCTGGAGGTGTGTTGGGTCATTGTCCTGTTGAAAAACAAATGATAGTCCAACTAAGCGCAAACCAGATGGGATGGCGTATCGCTGCAGAATGCTGTGGTATCCGTGCTGGATAAGTGTGCCTTGAATTCTAAATAAATCACTGACAGTGTCACGAGCAAAGCACCCCCACACCATCACACCTCTTCCTCCATGCTTCACGGTGGGAACCACACATGCGGAGATCATCTGTTCACCTACTCTGCATCTCACAAAGCCATGGCGGTTGGAACCAAAAATCTCAAATTTGGACTCATCAGACCAAAGGACAGATTTCCACAGGTCTAATGTCCATTGCTTGTGTTTCTTGGCCAATGCAAGTCTCTTCTTCTTATCAGTGTCCTTTAGTAGTGGTTTCTTTGCAGCAATTTGACCATAAAAGCCTGATTCACGTAGTCTCCTCTGAACAGTTGATGTTGAGATGTGTCTGTTACTTGAACTCTGTGAAGCATTTATTTGGGTTGCAATTTGTGAGGCTGGTAACTCTAATGAACTTATCCTCTGCATACTCTGAGTCTTCCATTCCTGTGGCGGTCCTCATGAGAACCAGTTTCATCATAGCGCTTTATGGTTTTTGCGACTGCACTTGAAGAAACTTTCAAAGTTCTTGAAATTCTCCGGATTGACTGATCTTCATATCTTAAAGTAATGATGGACTGTGATTTCTCTTTGCTTATTTGAGCTGTTCTTGCCATAATATGGACTTGGTATTTTTCCAAATAGGGCTATCTTCTGTATACCACCCCTACCTTGTCACAACACAACAGATTGGCTCAAATGCATTAAGAAGGAAAGACATTTCACAAATTAACTTTTACCAAGGCACACCTGTTAATTGAAATGCATTCCAGGTGACTACCTCATGAAGCTGGTTGAGAGAATGCCAAGAGTGTGCAAAGCTGTCATCAAGGAAAAGGGTGGCTACTCAATCTAAATATAAAATATATTTTCATTTGTTTAACAATTTTTTGGTTACTACATGATTCCATATGTGTTATTTCATAGTTTTGATGTCTTCACTATTATTCTACAATGTAGAAAAACCCTTGAATGAGTGGGTGTGACCAAACGTTTGACTGGTACTGTAGATGAAGCGTGGATTGTAGACTATTCCATGCTTCTGGTGCACAAGACGAGAAGGCAGTCTTGCGTAATGCTGTAAATGTCCTGGGGACTTTAAGTAGCAACCACCTAGCAGACTGGGTATGGTGACTGCTTGTGTTGAAGGAGACCAGACTACAGAGGTAAAGAGGGAGTTTACCCAAAAGGGCTTTGTAGATGAACACATACACATTTAGCTTTGTGTGCATTTGAAGTGATGTCCAACCCACCATTTGGTACAAGGTGCAATGGTGGGTGAGTGACTTGGTATTTGTAATAAAGCGCAATGATGCATGATAAACAGAGTGCAGTCTCTGTAAGACAGAGGAGGCTGCATGCACATACAACAAGTCACCATAATCAATTACAAAATTAATTATATTTCTCTATCTCTCTGTGGTAGCTACTGTAGATCTCTCTGTATTTCTCTATCTCTCTGTGGTAGCTCTACTGTAGATATCTCTGTATTTCTCTATCTCTCTGTGGTAGCTCTACTGTAGATCTCTCTGTTGTTACACCCCCCCCCAATAGTTTCCCGTGTGTATCAAGAATGGTCCACCACCCAAAGGACATCCAGCCAACTTGACACAACTGTGGGAAGCATTGGAGTCAACATGGGTCAGCATCAATGTGGAGCGCTTTTGACACCTTGTGGAGTCCATGCCCTGATGAATTGAGACTGTTCTGAAGACAAAAGGGGGGGGGGGGGGGGGACTCAATATTAGGGGCTGACCACCACTATGTGTGTAAGACACTGTAAATGAGCTATTAGTTAATCAATACGCAAGCATTGGACATGAGGACACAAGTCAGAGAATTCCCCTGCAGATAGACAGACAAATAAGAGAGAGATTGAAAGAGCGATAGAGATGGAAAGATTACAGAGAATTTGATTCTGTCTGCTTTCCGATGTTGAACAGAAGATTATGACAGTAATCCCGAGTTGGATGGAGAGAAGGAGGGAACAACTGAGGAGGGAAGGGAGGAGTAAGGAGGGAGGGGGAGGAGGATGTGGGGGTCAAGAAACGGCCTTGGAAAGAAATATAGGAACACGGACACACTTTTGCACGCACAGGCATGTATAATACATTATAATACACACACAGCATGTATGTTCATGGTGTCAGAAAATCCGGGATTAACTGACCATGTGTAAATATGATCAAAAACATAAGACCCTTGTCCTTTGTTTGTGAATCACATATTTGAATACACGAAGTCACTGTTTGGACAATAGGAACCATATAGAAACCCTACTATTCTTACTGAAAACAGACTCTTTTTAGGTCACACACTAATTTGTGGGAGATAAAGGACACACACACACAATTATTTGCTATACACAGAAATGATGACAAAAGCTTTAATCCACCATATGCAGCGTACAGCTCTATGACTAAAAACAATAAGACAATTGTAGGATAAAAATCTAAAAGCCAGCATCACAACCATGCAAATTCCTAATGTAGAAAAAGGTTTGATATTCTACAGATTTTCAGTTCCTTTTCCTAAATACCTGTGTCCAAACTGTTATCGTTTATCACATTTGCACACTTCAAGTGTTCCTTCAACAGCGACACCATTTAGAGCTTCTTAGAATAATTCAATTTATAGAATGAACAATTAACAAATGATCAAGTACATGTGTATTCAGGACAGTGCAAAACACTAGACAACCATTACTTTTTCACAATCAGCTTAGAGTACCAAAAAGCCATTTTAACTTCAATCCGATAGGAAAACAGCATTTAGCAGGAATGTTGTATCAATATACAAAGAAAGAAATAAATACAGTGGGGAGAACAAGTATTTGATACACTGCCGATTTTGCAGGTTTTCCTACTTACAATGCATGTAGAGGTCTGTAATTTTTTATCATAGGTACACTTCAACTGTGAGAGACGGAATCTAAAACAGAAATCCAGAAAATCACATTGTCTGATTTTTAAGTAATTAATTTGCATTTTATTGCATGACATAAGTATTTGATACATCAGAAAAGCAGAACTTAATATTTGGTACAGAAACCTTTGTTTGCAATTACAGAGATCATACGTTTCCTGTAGGTCTTGACCAGGTTTGCACACACTGCAGCAGGGATTTTGGCCCACTCCTCCATACAGACCTTCTCCAGATCCTTTCAGCTCCCTCCAAAGATTTTCTA